GAAATTATGAAGGTTTTTCTGGCTTGTGTGCCTGGCCAGTGGCCTTTCACTCAGTAAGCTGAGGCAATCCCTGTGGGTTTTCAGACTATCTTGAGTTTCATGAGCATGGATGAAAAACAGCTGTTGGATGTACTACAGGCACGACTCTGTGCTCTGTCTTGTGTTTCATTGGAAGACAGGCACAGCTGGGTCAGGACAGGGATAGTCAGGGCCTCGACATCCACCCCTGAGCCGTGTGCTACAGCAGCTTACACGGCACACCTGTATACACATAAGAGCTTATTTATTGAAGTGAGCAGATCCTGGAGCTTATGATATGGTGCTTCAGACAGAATGAAACAGGGAATCTAGAAACTTCTGGAAATATCTAGAAACTTCTAGATATAGGCTAGTTTACAAAGGGGTACGTTCTGTGATACAGTCATCATATGATCCTAGCCTGGCTTCATGAAGCAGTGAGTCCAGTTTGTTCAGCCAGGAGGAACTAGGAGCAAGAGGAATTGAGTGGCATCCATGAGGCAGAAAATGGGGCTTTCTGCCCATACATATTGATGGCAGGGGACTGCATCTCAAATTAGTTGGGCTTCCGGAAAGCCGCAGAGAGGGAGCTGGGTTGCTGGTGCTGGGATGTGGGCTTCCTTCTGTAAACCAAATGCTGCGGTGAATCTGGGAAATGAACCCTCTGCAGGTGTGATCAGAAAGGCAGGTCAGTGTGTCCAGGAGGACCCGGGCCTCAGCCTCCCTCTGACGTTTGTGCAGGGCCTGCTGGGGAGAGACAGTTCCCACTGACTCTGCCTATGCGGTTCCAGACCTGCAGCCTCTCTCCAGCCCCAGCTGGATTGCAGGAACAGTGATGATCATTGCTTTCCTGTCAAGAACTTTGGTGCTCATGTAGTAGTACAGAGACAAACATGCAAACAAGCAGGAGCTAGAAGAGTGTCCCTGCTGCCCAGTAGGGACACTGGAAAGCATGAGACCATGGAGCTATGGAAGGGAGACCCTGGAGCAGTGCTAGGGTCTGCTGGGCAGCTCAGAGTGGCTCCTCAGCAGGTCCTTGTCACCTTCCTTGGGTGGCTCTGCACTGTCAGCCAGAGTCAGTAGTTGAATTCAGCAGTGGCAGCCGTGTGCGTGGGGAATCACTCCTTGTCCACCAAATCCTCAGCTGTCCAGGGAGGGGTGATGGTGCCCACAGTCTACCTGGAATCCCAACCAGTCCAAGGTTCTGCAAACCCTGAGCTGCTGTCGTTAGTGCTTTGAAAGGCAGGTTATCTCAGGCCCATGTGTTCCTCCTTCTTGACAAACTTCACTCTAGCGTTCAGGCTAAAGAGTTTTGAAGACAAACCATGCTACCTGTCCTTGTGAGGGGTCTTGAATGTCCTCACTTTCCTCCCTCTTGGCTTGTTCCTCCAGCTTGACTCAGGACCCATCCCCTGCTTCTCTGAGGAAGCCAGAGGCTCCCCAGTAGCTCTCTTGTGTTGATGGCTTGTGTGAGCCACAGGGGCTGGGGCTCATGAGGAGCATGAGTACTGATTTCAGCTGCTCAACACAGACTGGCTGCCCATCATGGGGACTGAGAATGTCTGTTTGCTAGTCCTGTCTCTTTCAGCATCCCTGAATTAGACGCAGTCACTAATATTGAGATCTTTCCTCTTCCTTGCCTTGTGTATGCATTGTCATGTGGGGAGTAGAGAACACAGAGCTGTTCCTAAGAAGGGTCTGGGAGGTCATGGTGCCTTGTGGTACCTTGTCCCCAAGGAGGGGCAGGTAGGCTGTGTTCTGTGGCCCTCAGAGATCAAGGAGGATCTGGGCTGATTCTGCCTGAGGAGCTGCCAGGGAAAGAAACCTGTCTGGGGAAGTAGAAGTGATACCAACCTAAGTTAACAAAAATGTGTTTGGAGAACACCATTTTGTCTGGAGTTGTGAGGAGGGCCTGGCATGTTTCTGTCTCCTGCCCCCTCATTGAACAGGAGTGCTCATTACCATGGCCACCAGAGTGGAAGCCTCTTCCTGGACCAGTGAGGGCAGGGTAAGTAGGGTGTTGGTGTTTTACTGAGCAAAAAAGTCCCATCACTTTTCAAAATGAGAAAACTGGCATTCAGGAGAATGAAAGAAATTAGTTGTACCGTAAATTCTAAATTGTGCAAACTAAGACATCTTTCAATGGGAAGAGGTTTGAACTCTGGGCGTTTTCTACACTCTGAGAACCTTGAAGAAATTTATCACATCACTTAATTCAGTTGCTTTTCTTCTGCCTGGGATGCCGGGTTCTGTAGCTAACAGTGTACTCAGTGCCACACGGAAACGGTTAACAGATCAGAGTACAGGGATCCTGTGTGCACATGTCCTTAAGGTTGCTTCTGGCTTTTGTTTGTTACCAATTTGCCAGGTATTTTGGAGGTGTATGTGGCAGGGCTGTGGGCCACCGTCATGCATCAGGTGGGTTTCAGGGAGATGCAGTAGGTTCTGGGTATCTGTGGGACAGCCAACTGCAAGCCAGCCTGCCTGCTCTCAGTTGTGTCAAGCCTTATATTTGATCTTACACTTGTCTCCACACACTGTGCGGAGCACAGATAAGCACCAGTGACACATGGATGTGAAGTGACTTGGAAATGTAGCGGTACCTAGTGACATGTGGATGTGAAATGTGGAAAAGGCTTTTTGAGCAGAAAATCTGGGTCAGAAAAGGTTGGTAAGTTGCTCACATTGTGCTTCTTTTTTAATCTCTTAGGTACCTGCATTTTAATCAAATAGAAACACTGGACCCAGAATCCTTCAAGCACCTGCCGAAGTTGGAAAGACTGTGAGTTCTGCTTCTGTCTTTAATTTGCAATCAGGCCCCAGCCCACACTGTGTGGGTGTAGTCAGGTCAACATCTGCCGAACACCCATACACCGCGCCATACACCGCATTAGTGAGAAATCTACCTTCTAGCTAATAATCAGAGGTGTGGGACTTGAGATTTTCTGTGCCTGGGCTTGGTGATAGAATGGGAAAGAATTCCAATTAGTTTGGGGACTAAAGCACACGGCTCTCAAGTTCATTCACCTTAAATAAATATAATCAGTAAGATGTGTGACCTCTTGGGCCCTTTTTTGCATGTCTAGGGCAATGTTTTTTAAAATGACTTTATTGTATTTTCTCCTTCCACAGATTTTTACATAACAATCGGATCACACATTTAGTTCCTGGAACGTTTAATCACTTGGAATCCATGAAACGATTGTAAGTGCACTGTGTGTGTGTGTGTGTGTGTGTGTGTGTGTGTGTGTGTGTGTGCTGCGTCTGCTGTGTGCTGGGTGCATGCAGTATCTGTGGGAAGTCCTTCCCTCCCAGCTCTTCTCTCACCTGATCCTTTCTGTGGACAGATAGAGTGGAGTGTCTCCAGCTCCAGTCCAGATGAGTCTTATGAGGCGTCTATATGTGGGGAGGGTAGGCCCTTTAAACCCATTCAAATGCAAAGAGTGAGCAGGTGACTCAGATGTGGCAGCAGGCTGATCCTTTAATAAGGGACTTGAGATAATTTTAAAAATATTTTTATTAGCTGGGAGTGGTGGCGCACACCTTTAATCCCAGCACTTGAGAGGCAGAGGCAGGCGGGTCTTTGTGAGTTCGAGGCCAGCCTGGTCTACATAGTGAGTTCCAGGACAGCTGGAGCTACAGGGAGACCCTGTCTCAAAAAGAAAAAAAAAAAAAAAGAAAAAAAATTTATTTATTATTTATTTTTATTTTATGTGTATGCATGTATTGCCTTCATATAGGTAAGTATACCCGTGTAGTGAAATGCCTGTGGAGGACAGAAGAGGCTGTCAGATCCCCTGGAACTGGAGTTACAGACAGTTGTTAACTGCCATGTGGGTGCTGAGATTCGAACCCGGGTCTTCTGCAATAACAGTCAGTGTTCTTAACTGCTGAGTCATCTCTCCAGCCCCAAGTTAATTTTTAAAATTATTTAAAATTTTCTAATTAATAAACATACTTAAAAAAATTTTATGTGTATGAATGTTTTGCCTGCATGTATGTAAGTACACCTGTGTGTGTATTGCCCACAGAGGCCAGAAGAGGGCATTGGATCCCCTGGAACTGGAGTTACTGTTGGTTGTTACTTGCCATGTGGGTACTGGGAGCCAAACCCAAATCCTCTAGAAGAACAGTCAGTACTCTTAACAACTGAGCAATCTTGCCAACCCCTCCAGTTTTTATTTGCATGGTGCATATTTTACTGGTGAGAATAAAAGCCAGTCTGGCATATTTCCTGTTCCTTTTCTTGGGACACACTTATGTGAAACATATTAAGCAGACTGATCTTTTATTTATTTATTTTGAGACGGGGTCTCCCTGTAGTTCCAGCTGGCATGGAACTCACTATGTAGACCAGGCTGGCCTTGATCTCACAGAGATCTGTCTGCCTGTGCCTCACTAGTGCTGACATTAAAGGCCTGTACCACCATACCTGGCCTGCTTGCCTAATTTTTCAAGACCTCCTAAAATAATCCTTTTATACTAATTCTTATAATAGAATTAAGGTATTTTCATCTTGATAAAGTTATATAACAGACTTGTTCTGTTTTCCCTGTGGTTTCAACCTGTCAGATATAAGTGTGTCCACCTGAACCCCAAAGACTTTGCCTTTGTAAAATCTCATTTCCAAGGTGAAGAGTCCTGCTGGCTCCATCTGTGAGCCTGATCTCACAGCACTGTCACCAGGAGCTCTCAGGTTACCCTGAAGCTGCCCTAGTGATAAGATGCACCTCAGCTGTCTCGTGCTTCTGTAGACATGGGTACAATATGGAGCCTGTGGGTGGTGCATTGTTTTGACCTGCCCTGCCTCTCAGGACCGTCTTGGCTCCTCTAGCCCATGCTTGCCCTGGTTATTTGTTTTGTTGTTTTTTTTTTCTGTGCTGGGGATTAAACCTAGGGCCTCCAACATGCTAGGCAAGTGCTCTACCACTGAACTGCATCCCCAGCCCCTCCCTGGGTCTGAAGTTAAAACTGTAGTGTGGTCACTACTTGACCTTACATCCCTGTGAGAGCACTGTTCTTTCTGGGGATGCCTGCACCACTACCCCCTTTCCCCAGTCCGGTAGGACTGGCTTCAGATTCTTTCCTGTAAAACCTAACCTCACATGATGAATGCTCAAATGCTCAGCAACTCTGATGTACCTGGAGGCTTCAGAACTTAGAGGTGGGTCTGTCCACATGGGTCAATGTCTCAGTGACTGCTCGGCATCCTCATGGTTTTTTTCTTCCCATAGGCGATTAGATTCTAATGCACTTCACTGTGACTGTGAAATTCTGTGGCTGGCGGATCTGCTGAAGGCCTATGCTCAATCGGGGAACGCGCAAGCAGCAGCCACTTGTGAGTTTCCCAGACGCATCCAGGGACGCTCTGTGGCTACCATCACCCCAGAAGAACTGAACTGTGGTGAGTGGGTCTTAGAGACCCTGCTTGAGGACCAGGGCGGCCCCATAAGGCTGGAATTGTCACTATCCTCTAGGGCTGAAACTCTGGAGTTGCAACCTGTGGGAGTGTCTGTGGCTGAGATGTGTGTTTAGGATGTGTGCTGTCACTTGGCCATAACGGATTTAGTCTGGGTTCTCATTTAGATGAGCCTCCAGTTCACTCTGTGTTGTTCTTTTTTTGGGTGTAGAAAGGCCTCGGATCACATCAGAGCCACAGGATGCAGATGTCACCTCGGGGAATACTGTATACTTTACCTGCAGGGCGGAGGGCAACCCCAAACCTGAGATTATCTGGCTTCGAAACAAGTGAGTCCAACATGAAGCAGAAACATCCCTGGACATTTCTGGAGGCACTTCAGGAGACCTGTGTGCTCCCCTGAGTCTCCCCTTCCCTCAGCAGACACCGCCCCCTTTTAGTCGGGAAGTTGTGAAGGAGAAAGAGACTCCATATTTTCCCTGTTCTATGTGGCAGCAGACTAGGAGCTACTCTTGAAGCAAAGTCCCTTGAAAGTGACACCTTCTCTCTCCTGGGCCTCATTCCTCCTAGGCAACTGTCCCTTTTCCCTGGTCAACCATTGACTAGGCAGCTGAACCCTTCTGCCGTGTCAGGTGGGAGCTGGGAAAGTACTGTACAGCCATCTCTGCCCACCTACTCTTTTACCAGGGCTTCCCATGTTTGATCATGGGTGTTAGCAAGCTTTGGACCTAAGCTGTGGTGATGAACCATATTTTACAGACAAGACAATGGGAGAGTTGCCTGCAGCGTAAGAGAGCGGTCAGGGGCACAGAGAAAGATATGTCAGAGTCATGAGGAGCTCAGAAGACTGTGCAAAATCTAGAGTTTTCTCTCCTCATAACTGTAAGGTCATGTTGGTCTTGGATCCATGCAGTGCAGGAAAAATGTGAGATACCATTGAGCCCTCAAAAACTTCTGCATCTTGGGTAGCATTGGGATTGACCGGCTAAAATCCAGGACAGAGCACTGGAGGGATTCCAGAATGTTAGGAGGTTGTATTTAAATAGTAAAGAAGCATAAATACGGCTCAGAACCTTTATACCCACATTTTTTATAAGTGAAAGACTTGATACTAAACATTAAAACCATAGCAACAAATATAGAAGAACTTGAGCCCAAGTCCTAAGTCCTGCCCTCCAGTGATGGCTCTGCCTTCCACCCACCCCTATCTCCCTGACATTCCTGCTGCTGCCCCCAGCTGCCTTCCAGCTCTGCCTGGGCTGTGGCCCAATTCATGCTTCCCATGTATGGACCTGTGGTAACTGTCACTGCAGAGTGGGGACCGATTTCACTGTGAGTAGATTGGTGCTGAGCAGAGAACTGTGGGGAAGGTGGATAAGAAGAGGAAGGACGTGGTCACACTCTGGGGTGTGTGGCTTTCCAGAGTGCTTCTGTAGGTCTATGTGGTGGAAATGTGTCCAGATTTTCAGGTCCAGATTGTACATGTGGGTAGGCACATGCCCAGGTGGTCTGGCTTCTTAGGAGACTGTGTCTAAAGCATGCTCAGACAATGAACTAGAAGGAGGGCCAGAGGGCTGGATATCTTTATGTTTTAGGTTTTCCTTTTGGAGATAGGGTCTCAGGTGTTCTAGGTTGGCCTCTGACTCTCAGTATAGCTGAGGATGACCTTGAACTTCTGATCTTCTGCCTGTGTACTGAGATTATAGGTGTGAGAACCATGCCAAGCTTCTTTTAATTATGTAAAACTGTTTCTCCCATATATATAATTTGCAGAAATAAAGACACACCTTTCAATTTGCATTTTCTCCATTAGATTAATTTTCTCACTTTGAAATTAGGACCTCATTACAGCATTTAGATAGACTGGGCAATTACAGTGAAAGTACATGCGTCATTGAGTGTTAGCACGTGTGCCTGCATTTCCCAGACATGTCTACTAAGTCAGTTGCTGAGGAGGACAGGAAGGCTATGGCTCTTGCTCTCTGAGCCTGGCCTATGCCACTTCTTTAGGGCATCAGATGCCACTGTGGACCTGACCTCTGGGGAAGGTTGTCATGAGTGCTGAAGGCCCTGCTTCTGCCTTGCAGTAATGAGCTGAGCATGAAGACAGACTCACGATTAAACCTGCTGGACGATGGCACACTGATGATCCAGAACACCCAGGAGGCAGACGAGGGTGTCTACCAGTGCATGGCGAAGAATGTGGCCGGAGAGGCAAAGACACAAGAAGTGACCCTCAGGTACTTGGGGTCTCCAGGTACGTGAAGGGCATTGCATGTAAGGGTCATCCCAACCACCCACTTCCTCTTTCTCGTGCACCCTAACTCAGTAAACCTGAGATGTTAAAATCTTAAGGTGACTTCTACGCCAGGTGTCTTGCATGGCTTCTGAAGCGCAGGGTCATAGGTCATTCTAGCTTGCTGCAGGCCCATGGCTGTCTCCTATACCAGGGACATACACATGTTCTCTGAATTGCTACTCCAAACAAGAGGTGACCATGGGAACCTGGCGAGACCAGCCATGCTCTACCATGGCACCTGCACAACCATATACAATTTGTTCCTAGTGTAGAGGCTGCTGTTTGCCGGGGGCTTTTGACTACTTCACAGAGATTTTTCTTCTTTTTTAATATATATATTTTTTTATTGAATTTTTGTGTATTTCATACAATATATCTTAATCATATTTAGACACCGCTCCCCTATCTGCAACTGCCTCATAGCCCACCCACTGGATTTCATGCATTCTGTCATATATGTTCAGGTCTATCTAGTCAAGTTTGTGTACCCAGATGTCCCTTCATGTGTGAGTTCATCCACTAGAGCCTGTTCAGCCTATCTAGTGTCACTACGTTAAGATCCTCTCCCTCACCCAACAGTGATCAGCTGCCGATAATCCCTTGGCTAAGGTTAGGGCCTCCTACCCTTTTCCCCAGTTCTGTGCTGGGTTTTTGTCTGATTCACAGTTTTCCAGGCTTCTGGGAACTTGCTCATATGAACTTACATCAAAGAGAGTTTTAAAAGACTGATTTTTTACTTAGAATATCCATGCTTAAGGTGCTGGCACATAACATTTAAAATGTCAAACCTCTGTCCAAACATGGAAAGCATAGCTGCGGCCTCGACAACTCTACTACACAGTGCAAGCCCTGCTCTGGCCTGTGTTCAGTCCTTGGCCTGGGTCCACCATTGCTCTGGGCAGCGCGGCTCCGTAGCCTTCTTTCGGGTCTCAGAGTATTACAGGCAGGCAGTCGAGCGGGCAGTGGAGCCTCCCTTCTACCCAGCCTGGCTGGGTTCTCTGAAGCTTTCTTTCCACTTTGGCTTCATGCACAGGTTACCAAACATCTGTGTTTTTATATTTTAGGCCTTGGCTAAACCAGTCTGATGGCAGTGCACCCGGTTGTGTGTTTGTTTAGATCCTTTGATTTCATGCTGGGCGTGGTGGCCCACGCCTTCAATCTCAGTACTCGGGTGGCAGAGGCAGGAGGATCTCTAGGAGATGGAGACCAGCCTGGTCTACACCGTGAGTTCCAGGCCTGCTGAAGCTACAGGGAGACCCTGTCTTAAAAAGATTCTTTTTTTTTTTTTTGCCATTTTTTGTGTATCCCACATAGATGCACAAAATATTAACAAGTGAGACTGCCTAGCTTTTTAATCCATTCAGTAAAACTAAACAGAGTGTATTGAGGCTGAATCAAGCCCTTAGGCAAATAACTTTGCATTAGATTTATCACTAAGCAGTTAGCATCTTTGCAGATGTGTCCTGCTGTGAGCCTACTGGGAGAAGCAAGATATGGACAGAGGCTGTGCACACTTTATAAGCAGGAAGCTGGTCCACTAATCTGGATCTGCGGTAATCTGATTAAAGCACATGTAGTAGGACACGGAATAGAATGGGCTTGGGTAACAAGTCTGCTGAGGAGACTTGCTTTGAGAGCAGGTCACCAAAGCATGGATGGCTATGTCTAGTCTGTACATTCTAAATTTAGCTCCTTTTGATCTGAGCTCTGTTTCTTTCTCAAGCCAACAGTTTTATTTAAGAAACCTCGCTGTGTTGGCATATCTGGCTCAGAAGCTCACAAAGGATAAAGGGCCCCCTTTAGCCTGCTGCTCAGCCTGAGCATCACAGAAAGGGGCCAGCTCAAAAGCCTGGCCGGGGGTACAAGCTGAACACCTTGGATCAAACTTGGTCACCTCCTAGTCTTATAAAGTTCATGACTCAGGAATAGGTTTTACATTTTTAAGTGACTACTTTTAAAGAAGACCATTTTATGACACTTGACACCTGTGAAAGATTCAAATGCCTGTAAACTGAGTCTTGTTGGGACATCCATGGTAGTCTTTTTGCTGCAGCAGCAGAGTTGACCACACAGTTGAGCAACACAGTCTGTGGGCTGCAAAGTCAACAGGGTGCAGCCCTAGCCTATAGAGAAAGTTTGTGTCAGCCCCTGTCCCAGACTGTGATGCTAGCCTGTAGTAACAGTAACAGAGTAGCTTTAAGTCTCCCTAAATCATAAACAGGTATATGTACTTTACATATTTTGAAGTACTGTTGTTAGGGGCATATAAATTTACATAATTTTCCTGGCGAATTAAACATCTAAACATTAAGTTACTAAAATCATAATTTTCCATCTTCACGGTACACTTTGGAAGTTTTCATGGTTATTTTAGAAGTTAAAAAAAATTATTGTTGCCGGGCATGGTGGCGCACGCCTTTAATCCCAGCACTTGGGAGGCAGAGGCAGGCGGATCTCTATGAGTTCAAGGCCAGCCTGGTCTACATATTGAGTTCCAGGACAGCTGGGGCTACAGGGAGACCCTGTCTCAAAAAAACCAAAAAAAAAAAAAATTATTGTGGATGTGCCTGTATGGAGATCAGAGGACAGCTTTGTGGAGTTGATTCTTGCCTACCACCATGTGAGTGCTGGGGATTGAGCTCAGGTGGTTAGGCTTGTACAGCAAGTGCCTTTACATACTGAACCATCTTGCCACCCCCATTTTAGAAATTTTACATGTCCTTAAATTTTTTTTAATTTTATTTTTTTATTTTGTGTGTATTGAGTGGATTGCCTGCATGCGTATAAGTGCACCCGTATCGTGCAGTGTTCATGGAGGTCAGAAGAAGGCATTGGATTCTCCTGGAACTGTAATTCCAGATGTTTGTTAGCCACCATGTGGGTGCTAAGGGTCAAACCCAGGTCCTCTACAAGAACAGCCAGTGCTCTTTACTGAGCCATCTCTCCAGCCACTTAAATTTATTAAATAACATTTTAGCATGTGCATGCGTGCATGTGTGTGTGAGATGGCATGTGCATAGAGGTCAGAGGACAACTTTCAGTTCTTTCATTACACTGTGTGAGTCCTGGGACTTGAACTCAGGTAGTCAGGTTTGGCTGCAATCGTCTTTTCCTACAGAGCCATCTTGCCAACACTTAGCTGTAGTGGTAAATTACTGAAACTTAAAGTGATTGTATCTTTCTCTTGAAGAGAGTTACCCGTCTCAGCTTACGTGCTGTTAGAGTTTTGTGTATTTGTAACCTGTGATCTATAAGGTATTTCTCCTATCCTATCTTCCCTCACCTCCCCCCATCATGCTCCCGCTTTCTTTCCCTCCCACCCATTCTTCCTCTCTTCTTTGCCGATCATTGTCTCTTGCCTGGTGCAGGGTAAAGTAGGCCCTGGATTTCTGTGCGGCCAATCAGCCTTCAGTCGAAGACTTTGTGAAAATCCTTTCATCTCTGCACAGCCAGTACCTGGGTTAGGGGTGCGAATTGACTTTCTTACTAGTTCTTTCTCCTACTAATGGTAATGGCAACTTGGGGTCCAGCTTGACTTCTTGCCTGGTGCCTAATCTTGTCATGTGCTGTCTGTCCCTTAGGCTCCTTACAGTCAGTTTAAGTGACAGGGATCTGCAGACTCCCTCAAGCAGATCTGACTCTGAAATTGTTCTTAATTCTGAGTCACTGGTCAGATGGACATGCTGATATTGAATGTCAATTGATGTAGCTTAAATTCTAACAGATACTAAAAACATTCAGAAAAGCCCCTCAGTCTCTCCATCCCTATTCCTGTCCTCTGCCAAAACATCTACCTGCACTCTTCTCTACAAGCAAGCACAGGCAAAGCAGGCGACCCTGGAAGTCTCCCTCCCCGTCCTCTTATTTCCTTGCAGGGGAGTTTCTTGCTCTTTTCCTTTTTACAGCTGCTTCAACTTTCAGCATCCATCATTTAACAAATTCTTCTGGGGTAGCTTCAGACATTTTTCCAAGGCATTAGCTACCACAGGTCCATATTCTTTATTTAAAACCTTACTTGAATTTCAGAAATTCAGGGAGCACATAACCCATTTACTGACTCAGGGTGTTGGCCAGGTCTGGGGTGATAGATACACTGTAATCTTGCTGCCACTGTCCCCAAGGAAAGCTGGGTGGAGCAATCCTGGAAGTGCCTCCTCCTACACAGATTAAACTATGGAAACAAATGCATTATGGGGGAGAAAATCTGCTTTTTAAAATTCTGCATTTATAGGTAAGGGTTATGGGCCCAAAGAAGCAACACAGGGTGGAATACCTGCACTGTCATCTTACAGACTTAAATCATGAGCTCCAAAGAAGGCAATTTCCAGTGTGAGGATGCGAGCAGCTTCTGTCTGAAGTCCATGGCTACCTCTCTTCAGGCGGGCTGTGTCCATTACAGCCCCAGCCACGAAACATATTGTGTAGATTGTTTTCCTAGATTTACAGTTGAAAAATATTCCTATAGTAGTTTTAATTTGTATTTTTCTCTTAGCGATAAAGCTGGTATTTTTATGTGGTTTAAATATGCTCTATAACTAATATTTTACGTCAGTGGGAATGACCAGTGAGGTCTGATAAGACTGATACGACATACTTAGAATAAGCAAAAGTAAAGCTTCTTCATGGAGTCCAGAGCGTATCTAAGGAAGAAATGCAGCTCTTCCCACAGTGGCCACTGCCCCCAAGTTGTCTGCATTTGATGGACCTCAGTGTCGGTGCCATTTTATTGTCCCACATTTGAGAAGAAATCTGTGTGCTCATGTGTGAGTGTGGACATGCATGTGCTACAGCATGCATGTGAGGGTCGGGGGACAACCTTGGGTATGGGCCCTTGCCTTGTACCTTGTTTGAGACAAGGTCTCTTGTTGGTCACCGCTCTGTGTTCAGGCTGGTTGGTCAGCAGGCTTCTAAGGACTCCTCTGCCCTAACCCCTTGCAGACTCATGCTACCACATGGCGTTTCACTGACGGTCTGGGGATTCAGACTCAGGTTCTCATGCTTGCACCACAAGCGCTTTACCTACTGAGCCATTTCCCCAACCTATTTGCACATTTATTTGAAAAGGAAAGACAAGAATATGTACAATGAAATGGAATTGTTTTGCCTATTTTAGAGGTTATTGGGGTGGATTAATAGCCTGGACCTCAAAAATTTCAAGCAAAAATCTTGTGAGGCTAGAAGAAATTAACTGAGAATTTCTGTTTGTGACAGCCCGACCCACTTTTGTAATCCAGCCGCAGAACACAGAGGTCCTGGTGGGCGAGAGCGTCACTCTGGAGTGCAGTGCCACGGGCCACCCTTTGCCACAGATCACCTGGACAAGAGGTGACCGGACACCCTTGCCAGCTGACCCGAGGGTGAATATCACTCCCTCTGGTGGCCTGTACATACAGAACGTCGACCAGGGTGACAGCGGGGAGTACGCGTGCTTTGCCTCCAACAGTGTGGACAGCATCCATGCCACGGCCTTCATCATTGTGCAAGGTGAGCATCCTTGAGTGCTGTTAGACCCTTGGCTTGCGCAGCTCCCACAGCCCCCTTGGCTCTGTCCTGGCTGTACCCTCCTCACCTCCTCAGTGCTTTTTCACTTTTCTTTATTTTCTTTCTCCTTTTTCTTTGAGAAAAGGTCTTGCCTAGCTCAGCCTGACCTTGAACCTCTTCTCATAGCTGAGATTAAAGGTGTATACTATCATGCCTAGCTACTTTGATATGTGTGTGCATGTGTGCTCACGTTTCTTTGAGCATGTTTAGTGTGTGCATATGCACGTAGAGACAACAATATCAGGTGTCATTCCTCAAGTGCCATCCACCTTTTTTTTGAAACTGTCTTTCAGTGGCCTGGAACTCACCAAGTAGGCTCGGCTGGTTGGCCAGCACACCTCAGAGATCAGCCTCCCCAGCACCCGTGTCCACGCCCAACTTTTTTTGTGTGTGGGTTCTAGGGATTGAACTCTGGTACTTGTGCTTGTAAGCCAAACACTTTACCAGCTGAGCCGTATCCCCAGCTCTTCCTTGCCTTTAAAAAAAAATTCCTAAAATCCACTTCATTTAACCTATCATACATAATTTGGTGGCTGGACAGTTTTCTTCAGGAGGGTGTGGCTTTGAAGTTACGGTGTCCAGAGCACCCAGGCACTGGTGTGAGTGAGTGAGAACATGGATGTCCAGGCTTTATAAGTGCGTCGCTTGTGATGAGGCTGTGTGAAGGAGACAGCTGATAGTGCACTGTGTGGTCACAGTGGCATGTACATGATGCCCACTGAAGTCCCAGTGGCGGTCAGTGTGAGCATCATGCACACAGCTGTGCTGTGTACGCTTCCTGAGGTCACAGTGGCAGTGAGTCAGTTGTACATGTTTCCTGAGGTATGGTTTTAAACAGGACTCCAGGAGGATGTGGTTTTAAAGACTTAGCTTTTTATTTCTGAACTGCTTAATTAACTTTAGGTGAGTTCATTAATTTTATGGTGAGCTATGAAGCAAGGCATGAGATGGAAAGCAGTACAGGTGTGTGTCTCAAATAGTACAGGTGTGCATCTCGTCTCTCTTTGATGGTCTCCTGCCTCATTAACAGTTGCTGTCTTTCCCATTTCCTTTGCACATGCCGCTCTGTAGCCAAGGAAGGCAGTTTCACTCCACTGTACTGTTCCTTTATACGGTGGACTCCTACTGGACAGTGTCCTATAACTTGCTGTTAACCATTGCACACAGTAGTGTAAACTGAGGGGTGAAGTTTTCCCTTCAGCTTCCCTCCTAGATGGGGTGAGTGGTCTTCTGTGTGCTGCTCTGTGTGACACTGAGGATTGTGTTTTCTTTGTGTGTGCCCACCTTTCTCTATGAGGCCCTTTCCCTTCCTCACCTCCTTGGAGACATGGTACCCACAGCAGGAGCCTTTGGCTGTGCTGGCTGTTGGTCTTAGGCCACTTTTACTCGGTTCCATGCTGTCTCTCAATGTCCAATTTTTAATGTTTTCTTTGATTTCTCTGCAGCTCTTCCTCAGTTCACTGTGACCCCTCAGAGCAGAGTGGTCATCGAAGGTCAGACTGTGGATTTCCAGTGTGAGGCTAAGGGTTACCCCCAACCAGTCATCGCCTGGACCAAGGGAGGTAAGATGTAACCCTGGCCCCTCATTCTCCCTCCTCCAGGACACAGGCAAGAAACAAGCTGAACCCCAGCCCTACCTGGGGAACTCTTGGCAACTGAGGGCAACTGGGAGTGGGAGAGTCGGTCTCTTTTCAGGGTGAGACTCTTGGTAGTTTGGTCAGGCTCTAGTGAATGAACCTATACCAAAAGGCATTTGGGGACACTTGGGTTGGGGAACTACAGGGGGTACAGATAGAGGAGGGGATCCAAATACAATCAAAATTCGCAAAAATTAATTTAAAAATTGTGTGTGTGTGTGTGTGTGTGTGTGTGTGTGTGTGTGTGTGTGTGTGTGTGTGTGTGTGTGTGTGTGTGTGTGTGTGTGTGTGTGTTTGTGTATAAAGAAATAAACTGTTGTTCCTGGGTGAGGCAAAACCAGTATCATCCCTACTGAGCTGGGGCACTGGGACACTGGGAAAGGTTGGAATTATCCACAGGGCCTCTCTGCACCCAAACATGAATGGCCATTGTGAGCACCATAACCCAGTTGCTGTGAGTCCTTGTGTAAGGACTGGGGGTACCTGTTTGCTCAATTCGTATCTTGCCCCTAATTAGCATTTATACAGTGACTCAAAGCATGTTGGCTAGAAGTTTCTGAATCTTTTGTGGAATCTACTAAAACAGGGCATCTCCTTCTGACTGCCAGAGCTATTCTTCCATTTCTGCACCAGGTGTGTGATTGCTGGCCTTCGTCAGATCCTGGCTCCTGCTGCCTGACGACGGCTCAGCAGATTGGGTGAGATGGCAGCAAGGGCAAGTACTGAGTTCACTTTAGAAACTTCTGTAGGTCTGTAAGCTTCCTGCTCTACAGCCTAGGCAGAGGACCTGGACCATCTGCCACCACCTTGGTTTCAACCAAAGGGCCACCGCATCCTCCCTCTGAGGAGCCCTGCTCAGGACTCCTGAGGAACAGACTGGGGTGGAGGTTATCTGCACTCCTCTCTTGGGAAGCTAGGAAAGCAACCTTATTGGAGCAGGAGAGGCAAGATACAAATTGAGCAAACAGGTATGCCCAGTCCTTCCACAAGAACAGAGCTTCACAGCATCCGGGTCATGGTGCCCACAATGGCCGTTCGTGTTTGGGCCCTGTGGATAATTCCACCCTTTCCCAGTGCCCCAGTACCCCAGTTCAGTAGGAGCGGTACTGTTGATACAAAGGAATATGCTGGCACTTCTTAAGGGGGCTTGATTTCTAAGTGGCCTGGGCCTAGGTCTCCTTCCTGTGTATTTCCTCAGGCACAGCTTGAGGTCAGCCCCCTGGGGCATCCTGCGTCCTTGGTCCTAGCCCCTTACTTATTCTTTTGGCTCTGTTCTCTGCTCCTTTCTACACTTTCCCTCAGTGTTGCCAGGTTTTACTCCTCCTTACAGATACCCAGCAGGTGAAGCAGCCCACATGGGTATTGGATAAGTGCTTGCTTACTGGAGCAGGAATGGCCATTTGCACCTTGACCCAGGGAAGTCCAACTCGGAGATCCCGCTGTCTTCAAAGATAGTCTTCTAAATCCCAAGTGTCTTGTCCCTGAAAGCTTCTGTATCTAAGGTGACTGATGTCTGTCCCCTTTGTAGGGAGCCAGCTCTCAGTGGACAGAAGGCATCTGGTGCTGTCCTCGGGCACACTTAGGATCTCCGGGGTTGCCTTGCATGACCAGGGCCAGTATGAGTGCCAGGCCGTCAACATCATTGGCTCTCAGAAGGTCATGGCCCACCTGACTGTACAGCCCAGAGGTAGGTACTGATGACTTGGTGGGTTTGTTCCTACTTATCATCAGTAACAGACTTCCTGCAGCTGACATCAACATCACTGTTCTAGTGCTTGCCCTTCTGATCTCTGCTTGGATTAATATTGTAGTACTTGTGTTCCTGGAGGATTCACTTAGACCCTAAATCTCTTCCTTTGAAGTTCATGAAGATGCTTGTTCATCTTATGCTGGCCTGAGTGAGGCTCACTTTGTTAGTGTCAGGCCCATTGTTTTCCCCTTGGCTCATCAAGCTCATGTTAGAGATGATGTTGCCAGCTGGATAGCCTGAGGTAGGCCCTGAGGAAGTGCAGGGCTGACAGCTGAGGCAGCTGTGTGCAGGCACCAGGGGGTCCATTGGATGCAAGCTGCTCCTCCATCTGCCTGCCTCTGTCTACCTGACCTCTCTTCCTTCTGTCCTCTGCGTGCTTCCCATGCCCAGTACCCACAGTGGAGGAGTCCTGGCCTCTTTTCTCTTGACACATCCAGTATAACAAGATCAGGAATGTTGTATGTTGTCTAGCTCAAAGGTCGCTGGCATAGACACGACCACTGGAACTTTGGTGGTCCAAGCCATGCATGGAGTCCCAAGATCTGAGCATGTCCCTTCCAGCTGAGCAGGAAGCCAAGGCAGAGAGGAGCATGCAGCCGGGGCTCTTGACTCCTTGGGGCCCTTTGGGATACTATGGACCTGTGGTGGATTCTTGTCTCTTGTCAGACTAATACCATCCATTGTGGGCTTTGTAGGCTTCCCTTCCTGTCCTTACCGGACAGTGCCCCTGAGTGGGATTCCAGAAAGGTTCCTATCTATCCCTGGGAGCCCACCTCCCTCTCCTGTCTGATGAGAAGACTCCTGTCTCTGAGGATCAGGCTCATTGTTTTGTCAGTGGGCCACATCACACTGCTGTCTCTTGTCAGACTAATACCGTCCATTGTGGGCTTTGTAGGCTTCCCTTCCTGTCCTTACTGGACAGTGCCCCTGAGTGGGATTCCAGAAAGGTTCCTATCTATCCCTGGGAGCCCACCTCCCTCTCCTGTCTGATGAGAAGACTCCTGTCTCTGAGGATCAGGCTCATTGTTTTGTCAGTGGGCCACATCACACTGTACTGCTGGCCATGCTGCTGCCTGCTGGTAGTGTGGGCAGAGCACAGGCAGCCTGGCTTATTAAGTAAACCCTAGCGTTTTTCACCTTAGCTGACAAGACCTGGGTACAGTTCATGTGCAGGGCCTTGGGCTGCCCTGACTATGGGCTCTCTTCTTCTGAAGCTTCTTGGTATAAATCATGTTTTGCCTCATTCTTCATGCTTGCTTTCCAGTGACCCCGGTGTTCACCAGCATTCCCAGTGACATGACTGTAGAGGTGGGCACCAATGTCCAGCTGCCTTGCAGCTCCCAGGGGGAGCCCGAGCCAGCCATCACCTGGAACAAGGTAAGAGGTCCTAAGCCTGGCCTCCTGATGCAGAAAGCATGATAATCTGGTGCAGACATTTCACCACAGAAAGAAACTCTCATGTTGTGAGTTGTGTTTAAGTATCCTGAAGGAATCCTTCCTTATAAGAATAAAGCACACTTGGATTACTCCATCCAGCATCAGAAACAAAGAAATTCCTCTGGAGCTCTGCAGTCTCAAGGAGGGAAGATGAGTTTTTGTCACTGCACTTTGCTCTTCAGATTCAGCTCAACATTAGGCAGAATTCACATACTGTGCATATAAGGAACTTGGAGGGAGGATGGAGTAGCCTCACTACAGTCCCCACAGAGTTGGGCTGACTGAAGGCCTCCCTACCCTCCAGCTCCCTCCCTGTCCACCTACCTTCTTCCAAGTCCCTCTTTCCTCCCCAGGCACAGCTGTGGTCTGCACGTGGCCTGTCAGGTCTGTCTCTGAATCATCCTCTCTTGGAAGGCATTCCTAAATGCCTGTTTCCCTGAGCCCTTCCCTACCATAGTTCATGGCCCCTGGGAGTTACCATGAGTGCCCCCAATATGTAGTGGGGTTCATCTTCTGCACAAAGCTCTGTCCTCAGCAAAGAACAGGTGTGTAGACCTCATCCCATTGAGTTGACCTGGGACAGTTACGTTACAGCTCCTTTCCTTTCCAGGCTGAGAGAGGGGTGGGTACAACCTTAGAGGTGATTTCTATTTGAGCCCTGATGATGCACATTTCCTGTCTCATGGAAAACAATCTTCCTTTCCCTTTTGATATTTTGTTTCAGGATGGGGTTCAGGTAACAGAAAGTGGAAAATTTCACATCAGCCCCGAAGGGTTTTTAACCATCCACGATGTTGGTCCTGCAGATGACGGTCGTTATGAGTGTGTGGCTCGAAACACAATTGGATATGCTTCAGTTAGCATGGTTCTCAGTGTGAACGGTAAGATGTATGTGCAAGGTGCAGAGCACTGCCATGGAGGGTTCAGGAGACACATCGCCATCCCAAGAGCATCCATTTAGGATTTGTTAGTTTTAACTGTCAACTTGACACACCTTAGAATTACCAGGGAAGAGAGTCTTAATGAGGAAATGTCGCAATCAGGTTGGCTTGTGGGCATGACTGGGGAATGGTGTTGTCTTGGTTTGTTCTTGAAGATTCGTTTTCTTTTTAATTATGTGTATGTGTGTATGGGTATGTGCACATGAGTGCAGCAGAGGTCAGAGCCATTGAATCTCCAGGGGCTGGAGTTGTAGGTGGTTGTGACCCACCTGACATGGGTGTTGGGCACTAAACTTGAGTCCTCTGCAAGAGCAATATGTGCTTTTAACTGCTGAGCCATCTCTCCAACCTCAGCTGTCTTGATATTTATTTATGTATTACTTTTAATTACTTTTAATTTATTTTATTATTTTTATTTTATGTGTATGAGTGTATTGCCTGCATGTATGAGTGCACCTGTGTTGTGCAATGACATGGAGGTCAGAAGAGGGCTTCAGATTCCCCTGGAACTGGAGTTAAGGATGGTTTGTAGCTGCCATGTGGGTGCTGGGAATTGAACCCAGGTCCTCTGCAAGAGCAGTCAGTGCTCTTAACCGCTGAGCCATCTCTCCAGCCCCTTATGTATTATTTTTATTTTGTATGTATGTGTGCTTTGCTTGCATGTATGTAAGTGTACCCAAGTCATGCAGTACCCACAGAGGCCAGAAGAATGTTTCACATCCTCTAGAACTGGAGTAATGAACAGTTGTTAGATACTTTGTGCATGCTGGGAGCAGGACCCTGGCCTTCTGCAAGAGCAGTCAGTGCTCTTGACTGCTGAACTGTCTTTCCAATCCCTATCTTGATTTTTAATTGATTCCAACCCAGCCCACTGTGGGAGGTATCATTCCCTTGGCAGGGGGTCCTGAACAGTATGAGTTGAAGCCAGCTGAGAGCAGAGGGCATCCATGCATTCTTTCCCACTCTGCTCTTGACCATGGATGTGATGTTTTAAGTCCTTGCCTTGACTTACCCATGATAATGGAGTATAACCTGGAATTGTAAACCAAATAAGCCCTTTCTTCCCTAAGCTGCTTTTTGTTCTGGAATTTGTCACAGCAACAGAAGTGAAACTAGAGCAGGGTGTTAAAATGATTCGGAGGACAGCAGGTTTGGCCCGGTTACCTGTTGCCATTCCCTAGAAATGTCCCCCCCTTCCTGAAGTTTCCCTTCCTCTTCAGCAGCCGTTTCATATCAACAACACGGTTTACAAGGATCGCTACAGGTGTTTCGTGCCTCCCAGCTGGGTATCACCACATATGGCCTGGATGTTCCTCATGCATATGGCCTGACCTTTCTCAGGTCTAGTCCATAGCCAGAGTGCCAAGAGTCCATCCCTGCATCTTGCCCCTTGCATTCTGCTCTTTGCCTAGACAGCTCAGTTTTGGGGAAGGGAGACAAGAGCTCTGCTAATACTCAGCAAGGGGAAGAGGCTGGAGGGACAGGTAGAGCCGTGAATCTGGAGCTCAAGGTAGAATCAGGGATGCAAATATTAACAGTCTGGGACTAGGTGAGGTCAGACAGGAGAGCCTGTCTGGGAACTGCTCTGGGGGTATTGGGCCATCAGATTATCAAAGAAGAAAAATCAACAAAAAGACACAGGGCAGAAGAACAAGGCTTGTTGTGAAATAGACTCTGTATCTGTTGATCAAAGTAGAGATGGAGAGTCAGTCAGGGAGAGGAGAAAGAGAGAAAGGAGGAGGTTGGGACAAGAAGGAGGCACCAGGAATGAATGAATGTGCCACGGATTGACAGGGGCAGGTGAGTCCCAGCATATTCCAGGCAGAGAAGGTCTCTATCAGCAGGCAAATCATCCCAGTCACACCTGGTCTGTCCCAAGGGAGGAGGTCTACCTCAGCAACCAATAAAGGACCCTCTTAGTAAGTCACTACAGCTGCATCCATACCCATGGAAAAGCTGAACACATGAAGGAATACGTGACTGACCCTTGGGCTGAGATGATGGTGTGACCATAGCCTTCAGTAATAGGATGAATGGTTGTAGTGAGGTCGCTGTGCCTTACAAAGTCTGATAGTTCATATGAGGTGAGAAAGGAGTGATGAGTGAGAATTAGAAGTGTAGCATCCAGGGAACACAGGGTAAGGTGTACTGGGTGTCACAGTATGGTACGGTGTACGTTTTTCAGTGCTATGTTCTGTGGTGGCATGAATGAGCTTCTTGTGTGTGGCATGTGTTTATTCTGTGTTCTGTGTGCTATAATGTTGTGTTATGTGTATATAAGTATGTATATAAGCATGTATATGTGTCTGTATAGTGTGTTGTGTTTGGTGTATGGTATATTCTGCTGTGTGTGGTGTGTATGGTGTGGTATGTATGTTCTGTGTGCTGTGGCGTGTATGGATTCAGGTGATATGTGATATATAGTGTGGTATATGCAGAGTGTCTGGTTCTCTCTCTCTGGGTGTGAGTGTGTGTGTGTGTGTGTGTGTGTGTGTGTGTATGTGTGTGTGTGTGTAGCTGGAGGCCCCATATAAGGATGCTCTGATGAAGACCATGTGACCAGAAGTAAGGGACTAATAGTAGAGATACTCAGACTTTGGGAAGTGAGGAGCTGAGTCCAGCATAGGTGATGGGTGGTGTTTTAGGAGAACAGGGACCCCTGGAATGAAGGCGCCTCCCCTGATGCCAGTATCTACCACCTTGATCCCAGGGGGCCTCAGCAACATCCCCCACAGGCATTATGCTTGGTATAAGGTTCTGTGTGCTTTGTGTTATAACCATTTTGCCAGTCTTTACAGGATGTCACATAATTTTTTAAAAACTAAAAAAATATGTGATTTCCATGCTGTTTGAAGACAGCTTCTAGTAGAATTTGTGATGAAATAACTAGCATTGGTTCAAAAAACATAAATAGCTTTTGGAGTGCAGAACTCCTGAAAGTGTGTGCCTAGATGATGTCGTGTCTAGACGTTGCTTTATGAGTAACATGTTCAGTGTTTTTCCTGGTAATGTGAGTTCATGTTTTCCTAGTTCCTGACGTAAGTCGAAATGGGGATCCGTACGTCGCTACCTCAATTGTTGAAGCCATTGCAACTGTTGACAGAGCCATCAACTCCACGCGGACACACTTGTTTGACAGGTATGCTAGGCAGAACTGTAGAGCTGGCCTTGGGTGAAGGAGCTGGTGTGGGGTGGAATGCATGCGTTCCTAGTACATGAGGCTTTTACTTCACCCCCAAAACTTTAATATAAAAGCCATAAGAACTTCTCATATGAAAGCCGTAAGCAGCATCAGTTGTGGCTTCTCTGGGTGTTAGGGAGCTAGGAGGTGATTTATGATTCATAATCAAAACATTTTCAGAAGGTCCAACTCAATATTTTGGCTTGTTAATAAACAGTTTGGCAAAAACAAAGTTACTGAGGTGGCCAGTGGATTCTTCCATGTTGGCAATTCAACAAATTCTCTGCACCTTAATTGAAATGCGATGCCTGTGACTTTCTCTCTTGACTTATTAATGATTTGTTTTCAGTGTCTTTGGTTCTTGTTTGTCTGTTTGTTTTCTGTCGCCTTCCACCTGGGATAAGTAAGGTACAGTGCACCACATTGTCAAAGTAGTGATAGAAATTTAATAGCATAAGTCTGCTTTTAGATTTTTGTCTCCAATGATTTGTCTCATTGTTCCTCTCCCTCCCTACTTCACCAGCCGACCTCGCTCTCCAAATGACCTGCTGGCCCTGTTTCGGTACCCACGGGACCCTTACACAGTGGGACAAGCCAGAGCAGGAGAGATATTCGAGCGGACCCTGCAGCTGATCCAGGATCATGTGCAGCATGGCCTGATGGTCGACTTGAATGGAACAAGTCAGTACCAAGTCCTTCCTCCCTCTTCCTCTGCTACCTGAGCAGGAGGTAGCAAACGCACCAGGCTGCACATGCACCAGTGTCTGAGCCCAGCTTCTGCTGAGCTTACATAGGTCCTGGTGTCTCTGGATCAACTGGAGTGTTTCAGTTATGTAGAACCTGCTTGGCTAGGCTGTGGCTAATTTACCCACATATCTTGTGCTGGGCTAGCAAGCTAGCTCTGTGTCCACCCTGTGGAGGCAGGTTGTAGTTGTCCAGTCCTTATGTGACAAAGATAGAAGAAGACCTTTGTAGGGCAATCTTGAAGTAGCTGGTGCTATGTGTGTACAGTGCAGTGTCAGTCCGCACAGTACAATGGCATGTGGCCAAAGGAGGTTTATGAAGATTTTCAGTGTCTGTAGAGCTGTATGCAATGACATGGTGTGTGGCCACCACTGTGCTCCAGTGCTACCAGTATTCACTAATCAGACCTGCCTTTGTGTGCCACAGACACACACCACACACACACACACACACACACTCACTCACACAGAGTATGGAGAACACTAATCAGCAGCTGCCTGTGTGAAAGAGCTGCTTTCAGAAGTGTTTTCTACATGACTTTCCATAAACATTTTTTTTTTAATCAGGGCAAAAAACCTACCTTAGTGCTTTATTGCTGTTGCTAACCCAAGTGTATGAGGTGCAGGAATCACTCTCCATTCGGACCCAGGCTGAGTAGACTACTCGTTGGTCCTGAGAGGTAGAACTGCCTCTCTGCCAAAGATTCCCGCATGGCAGCTGCAACCCCCTGGCCACTCTTGGAACTAAGAACATTCTTATTTTACTTTAAGGATGGGACTCCAGACCCCAGACCCCCATTCTCAGGTTCTGTTTTGTTCTTTCTAAAGCTCTCCTTAGACATTTGGTGAGCTCTGGAGTGAGCCTGGGGGGTGGATATAGCAAAGAATGGCTGGTCTTGAGAGGTGCTTCCCAGCCTCTCCCACATTCCAGTTGTGAACTGTCTTTTTGACTTGAGGACCAGAGTCTCTTAGATAGAGGACAAGCTGACATTTGCTAACAACTGTTACTTTTGCTACTCCCACCTGTCTTCCTTTTTCTCCCGGTTTTTAAAGTAGTTGTGGTAGCCTGAGCTGGGAGCAAACCCGCCCTGCATCCTCCCTGCTCTTTTCTGGAAACCCAGCCTCTAGTCCAGACACTGTTTGGAATTGTTCCTTGTGGGATTCTCTCTGGCCGGTTGCTTATCACTATAGCTAATTAGAGAAAGATTTGGAAACTTGGAGAGGCATAGAGAATGCCATATAATCCATACACCCCCTGGCACAAGCCTTTCTTCCTGAGCTTCCTGAGCAGTGTGCCCAGGCTTTCTGCATCATCTGTCCACTTATTTGGCCGAACACACCCACTCTGCCAGGCACTGTCCACATCTTGCAATAAGGCAATGCTAAAGAAGGAAAAAATCTCAGCCTCGGGGCTAGGGGAGATAGCTTCATCTAAGGCTTGCCTTGCGAGTGTGAAGACCTGAGTTCCAGCTCCAGGACCCACATTAAAACAAAACAGAATAAAACAAAATGTGGCCTCGTGGCACATGCTTGAAATCCCAGCACTGGGGAAGAGGAGATAGATAGATCCCTGGCATTCACTGGCCAGTCAGCCTAGCCTGCTTGATGAACCCAGGTCCCAGTGCCTGAGGAACAAATGGCTGAGGTTGGCCTTTGGCCTTCATATACATATACACATATGTACACATGCACTTTCCCGTGTACCTACACACCTTTACACATACACGCGAATGTACGCACAAACACATAAAACTCAGCCTCAAAGATCTAGCATTCCAGGCCAGATATGGTGCTTCATGCCTGTGATATCAGCAGAAGGGAGACTGAGGCAAGAGAATCTTAAGTTCAAGGCGATCCTGAATTATGTCATGAGACCCTATCTCAAAACAAAGAACTAAGGCGGGTAGTTCAGTGAATTAAGGGCATTTGCTCTGCAAGCATGCAGACCTGAGTTCAAATCCCTAGCACCCATGTAAAAAGCTGGGCATCACTACATGTGCCTGTAACCCCAGCATTGAGGGATGGAGACAGGTGGATCTTGGGTGCTTGTTGTCCAGCCAGCCTAGCTAAAACAGTGAGTGTCTGGTTCATTGAGAGATCCTATCTCAAGACAATAGGGTAAAGACCAACAGACAAGAACCCCATGCCCTCCTAGCCTCTACATATGTATACACACTCATGTATGCACCATACACATATATACCTTCTCTCCTCCCCCCTTTCTTTCATACACACACACACACACACACACACACACACACACACTTTATAATAAATAACCAAACCAAAACAAAAATGATCCAGCATTCTGGAGCAGAATGTCCCCTGAGTCAGCAGAGAAGTCAGTACAGGTGGCTAGCCATAAGGTAACAGGAACAGCAGTGGGGAGGAGGCAAGGACCCAGGCTGGTTAGGATGCCACCTCCCTGATAAGAACAAGGTGTGCCCTGGAGTGAGGGTCATCAAGGTGGGATGGTGCCTGGCAGGGGATTGTATCTGGAAATAGAGGGAAGGTGGGGAAGGAGACAGGTCAGGGAGCTTTGAGGGCTCAACCAGAAAGAGCCTCAGAGCCATGAGATTCTCCAAACAGAGAAGCAACGAGGTGTGATTGTCTGTGATATCAGTGTGGGGTAGTGATAGACATAGGGAGTCTGCTCCTGGACTGTGCTGCTACCTGCTGGGGCTGCCAGGACACATCTGCCTCTGCATCTGTGGCCAATGCTGTGGAAAAAGCAAGTGTGTTCCAGGAAAGCCTGAGATCTACCAGTGCTGCAGCTGAATGGCCATGTGGGAGGAAGTGTTTCCTTCCTGGCCCTTTGCTTCTTTGGTACTTTTGATGGTCAGGTAGGGGATTTTCTGAGATTTCTCCAAAGAGCTAGACACTTGCCTGTACCCTGGTGCCTGAGGGAGGTGTGGACTGCAGTGCTCAGGAGCCAGGAACCGTAGTGGCCAGGGCAATGAGAGTTTCATACCTGCAGCTCACCAGTGCCCCAGTATGTTTCTGACTGCATCTCCCAACCTGGAAACTCTCAGGTCCCCTTGCTTTCTTGGAGTTTTCTATGGGTGTTTTGGAGCCCATTCCCTGCAAAAAGAGGCTGTTTCTTGTTCTTTTAAAATGTGCAAACTGAGGGCTGGGCGTGGTTGTACACACCTTTAGTCCAAGCATTTGGGAGGCAGAGGCAGGTGGATCTCAAGGTCAGCCTGGTCTACATAGTAAGTTCCAGGCCAGATGGGACTACAGGGAGACCCTGTCTCAAAAATACCCCCCCACCAAATGTGCAAACTGAGTCTCTAGAGCCAGACATTGGCTGGAGATATGTTAGAGGAGAAGTCATGATACTGGCTCTGAACCCACCAGTGACTGTGTGTGTGTGTGTGTGTGTGTGTGTGTGTGTGTGTCTGTGTCTGTGTGTGTGTTTGTGTGTGTGTGTCTGTGTGTATTCATGTGCATAGGCCTCATGTGTGCATACAAAGGACTGTGAGTGTGCACACATATGACCAAGTATCTCCATGAGCATGCCTTGCATAGGAGCATATCATGTAAGTACAATCATGATTGTATTTTTGTGAGAGTCCATATGTAAGTGTACATGTGAGTGGCTGGGAGTATGTGATCATGTCTTCATACATGAGTGTGCAGGTATGTGGGTGCATGCATAGTGTGCATGTGTGTGTGCATGTATGGCTTTTCTGTAGACCCTAGACCCTCTCTTTTGGGGGCAGTGAGGAAGGTAGAAGCCTTGGCTATATCAGTGCCTGGAGGCACCATTTGTGCATGGCATCCGGGGATCATTGTGTGGTAGTGTGTCTTAAAGGTAAAGAGCTGAAGTTAAAGGTCAGTGACATCTGGTAGAGATACATTCCTGGCCAGCAAGACTGGGGTTTCTCCTCTAACTGGTGGGCAGTCAGAATTTTGAGCAGGAAGGCAACCTTCTGGGAGCCTGGCTAAGTAGGTTGGAGTGTGTGTTTGTTATGACGTCTATGAAATTCAAGGCCAGTATCATGAACAGCCATCTTGGGTTGATGATACGATGCCAGAGAGGGTAGAGGAGAGCAAGAGTTCAAGGAGACCTCATACACAGAGGTGACCACTGGACGGATTCTGAGGCAAAGATGCTTACAGCTTAAAAATCACTGCAGTGTGCTATGATGGACACAGGGAAGCTGCCCTGGTCCATGGGAAGGGGACCTACCATGGCTGGTGACATGAAGGTGCATTCTCTGCCTGGTTCATGGAATGGTATATTCAGATCTCTGAATGTGACTGCCTTCTCTAGACCCATTAGAGTCAGAGGTTCAAACTATGGGGCTGACTAGTAGTGTGTAGAGACTATCTGCACCCAGCCAGCTGAACAAGGAGGGCATATTCTATCAGATGGGAGGCCAGAGCATCTGCTATATTAGAATTCATGCTCATCATGAATTCATTCATTCATTCAGTTAGGCGCCACCTGAGGAGCCGAAGGCACTAGTCTGCACCATTGCTGGTGGAAGTTAGTGCCACCCCACTGTGTTACAGGTTACCACTACAATGACCTGGTGTCTCCGCAGTACCTGAGCCTCATCGCCAACCTTTCCGGCTGTACTGCACATAGGCGCGTGAACAACTGCTCAGATATGTGCTTCCACCAGAAGTACAGGACGCATGATGGCACATGTAACAACCTGCAACATCCAATGTGGGGAGCCTCGCTCACAGCCTTTGAACGTCTGCTGAAGGCCGTGTATGAGAATGGCTTCAACACACCTCGTGGCATCAACCCCCAGCGCCAGTACAATGGGCACGTGCTACCTATGCCCCGCCTGGTGTCCACTACACTGATTGGAACAGAGGTGATCACCCCTGACGAGCAATTCACACATATGCTGATGCAGTGGGGCCAGTTCCTAGACCATGATCTGGACTCCACGGTGGTGGCCCTGAGCCAGGCTCGCTTTTCAGACGGGCAGCATTGCAGCTCCGTGTGCAGCAATGATCCTCCTTGCTTCTCTGTCATGATTCCTCCCAATGACCCCCGGGTGCGGAGTGGGGCCCGCTGCATGTTCTTTGTGCGGTCGAGCCCTGTGTGTGGCAGTGGGATGACATCCCTGCTCATGAACTCCGTGTATCCTCGAGAGCAGATCAACCAGCTTACCTCCTACATTGATGCATCCAATGTGTATGGCAGCACGGACCACGAAGCCCGTGGCATTCGAGACCTGGCCAGCCATCGTGGCCTGCTACGCCAGGGCATCGTGCAGAGATCTGGGAAACCACTGCTACCCTTTGCCACAGGGCCACCCACTGAGTGCATGCGTGATGAGAATGAGAGCCCGATCCCCTGCTTCCTGGCGGGGGACCACCGTGCCAATGAGCAGCTGGGCTTAACCAGCATGCACACACTGTGGTTCAGGGAGCACAACCGCATCGCAGCAGAGCTGCTAAAGCTGAACCCTCACTGGGACGGAGACACTGTCTACCATGAGACCCGCAAGATTGTTGGGGCAGAGATACAGCATATCACCTACCGGCATTGGCTGCCCAAGATCCTGGGGGAGGTGGGCATGAAGATGCTGGGTGAATACCGGGGCTATGACCCCAGTGTCAACGCCGGCATCTTCAACGCCTTTGCCACTGCAGCCTTCCGGTTTGGTCACACGCTGATCAACCCCCTGCTCTACCGTCTGGACGAGAACTTTGAGCCCATGCCACAAGGCCACGTGCCCCTCCACAAGGCCTTTTTCTCACCCTTCCGGATCGTCAATGAGGGGGGCATTGACCCCCTTCTCCGGGGGCTGTTTGGAGTGGCAGGGAAGATGCGCATTCCCTCCCAGCTGCTGAACACAGAGCTCACAGAGCGGTTATTCTCCATGGCACACACGGTGGCCCTCGACCTGGCTGCTATCAATATCCAGCGAGGCCGAGACCATGGCATCCCTCCCTACCACGACTACAGGGTCTACTGCAACCTGTCAGCCGCCCACACCTTTGAGGATCTGAAAAATGAGATCAAGAGCCCTGTGATCCGGGAGAAGCTACAGAGGTGAGTACCAGGAAGCTGGGACATGATGATCAGAATGTAGGTGCCGAATACCAGGCTGTGAACTGCAATGTTGTTACCATCCCTTGAGTTTGGGTTTCTCTTGTGACTCATGTTAGGGAAGAGAAATCTGTGCAAGCTGAAATTGGGCAGCTGGAAGCCTGCTGGCTGGGCTGCTGCAAGGGGACCACAGCGTGAGGTAAAGTCACATCCGTCAACCTGGCTGTGCTCAGGAGGCGGGCTTCTAAGCTGTGAGTTTCTGTTGAGGCAGGCATTGTGCTTACCTGGATGGGGTTTGCCTGGGCAAAAATGAACTATTTGCCCCAGAGCTAGGAACACATCCTCACAGGCACAGAGAGCCTGACAGATGGGCCTCAGACTGGGCATCCCTCAGGACCTGACATATAGCCCTTCCTGCCCTTGCTAACCTTACCTGTGATGCCCATGTCTGCATGAGGGGATGCGTGTGAGGGCCATTGGAGAGGCCATTGTCCTGAGGAGAGGAGAGCTGGCCTGGGGAATGGGCAGCAGATGGGAAAATTTCTTGGGGAGACAGATGTCCCTGCTGCCCAGAGAATGGGCTCCTATCTGATTAGGCTTAGGTCACCTCACCTAGGGCCAGGCTTCTTCTCAGACCTTTCTCAGCAGAGATTGGTCAGACCTGAAGGCCCCAGAAAGTGCAGCATTCCAGTCCTTACAAGCTCTCCTTTTCCTTTTTCCCCCTTAAGGTCACAATTTATTTACAAGATTTATTTTTTATTTTTTTAACATATTTTTTATTTATTATTTTATGTGCATGAGGGTAGTGCCTGAATGTATGTAAGTGCACCCATGTCATACTGTGCCTGCAGAGGTCAGAAGAGGGTGTCGGAGTCCCCAGGATCTAGAGTTATGGACAGTTGTTAGTAGTTGTGTGGGTGCTGGAAGACCAGTGCTTTTAACCACTGACCCATCTCTGCAGCCCTTACAGGGTTTATTTAATGCACTGGACAGATAGACAACATGGCAAGTATCTGAAGAACCTCTTCTTTTTCTACTGTTGGTCCATCTCTTGTGTTCTGTGTTATTTATACCAGTTTACTTTCACTAAGTCTTTTAAGGAAATTAAAATGCTCTTTAGAGTTTTTCTGGAACGACCTTTTGTAGTTCTTGGATTTATAAATTCAGTCCAGGCCACTGTGTGTGGAAGATGTGCGAATTCCCACTTGGTGGAATTATTCTAAGAAAGGAAAAGAACTTTCCCCCTCGTTCCTCACCTCCTGGGGTTCCTGGATCCCCTGCAGCCCATCTTGGCTCCCTAAAAGTGGTGGTGAGAGGCTAGCGCAGGCAGAAGGGTTCTTGCTTGTGATTTACGACGCGTTCCAAATGAGTGTCTGGTTAGCTCCCTGCGTTCCAGTGTTCATTTAAATAATGGCATTGGATGACTGGCAAGGAAGCATGTGGGTTCTCCACTGGGACAGTGTATTTTTGTCACCGTTGTGCTTAATTAGGATTTATGCTTACCGTCTGTACTTCCATGTGCTTCAATGTCCCCCTTTGTTCCAGTCCAGACAGCCACAGATGACTTTCCCAGTCATTTCTTGCTTGCCAGAGTATTTCAGAACTGCTCAGTAGCTGGCAATCCTGCTGCTGCCGCCAGAGATGATGGCCCTGGGCTGGTTGCAGGCAAAAGACCCCTGGAAAAGACAAAGCTCACTCCCCACACACAGAATCACATTTTTTTTTCTCTATGAACCCAATATTGAGAGGAGGAATGAGACAGAAACGGGAGGAGAGTTGAATGGTGATGAAAGCCAGGCTGTGATTGCTTCCAGCAGACCTTGGGGAGTGTAGCTTTCATCCTCTGTCTTGGCAGCCCATTCAAGTTCTGGATTTCAGGGCAGCCTGGGAGTAAAGGGTAGGGCCGAGAAGCTCTGCAGTGCACCCAGAGACCACCTGTAGCAGGGTTAGGGGATCCCTTCCCAGATGGAAAGCAGGAGGACAGGAGGAGCAAGTGTTCTAGGAAGGGCAGGAGCATCTGGTGCCCTTGGAGCAAGACCAGCAGCTCTCCAGGTTCCCCTGACAGGTCACTTCACAGTGAGGTCTTAGAGGGTTTTGTTCAGCGTGCCTGAACTTTACCATAAAGACAGTGAACACAGTTGTGCTTAGAAAGGCTGGATGCCAGCCTAAGTAAAAGTGTGTCTATAACACTTACAAGATGAATGTCATAGGTCTTGAGTAACTCTTGTACCCACTGGCACATTGCAGGGTGCTTGAGTCTGATGGGGAAGGCAGCAGAGGCCAGAAGATGCTGTTTTTTAGGTTTTAGGCTCTAGCAGAGCCTCCAGTAGAAGTTGGAACCAGGGCCACCTGCTGCCTTGTGAACTTTTGGGAAATTGCACAAGATTAGATAAGAATGGTCTGTGTGTGGACTTTGCTGGTTCTTCATATGGCCTGGAAGATTTGGTGAGAACGTTTAGTCAGTATTTTAAATGTCTAAACCATATGTCAGAATGTTTTTGTTTGTCTTATTTTGATTTTTGGTGTTTTGAGACAGGATCTTGCTATATAGCCAGTTTGGCTTCAAACTCATGGAGAATATATTTCAAGACATGGTAGCATCCAATATTCTTCTTTTCAGATATGACGGAGATTATTTATTGTACACTTAAAAGAAAAAATAGGCAGGTATGCCCTGTGGGGTCAGGTGGTTTTCCCTGGAGTATATGAAAGGGTGTGCTTTAATTTTCTTTTCTTTTCAAAATATAAATAAATATGTGTATGTATTTTATATATAACATGTAACAGAAAAAAGAAAAAATATCTTTAAAGTATGGTGCAAGCTGCTTTAAAGAAATAATGAGTGTTCTTTGTTAAGTAGAAATCTGAATAATGTACAGGGTCTTTTTCTTCGTTGCTGTGTTTCCTATTCCAGGGAGCTCTGCCAGAAAGACCTGAGTTTCCCTTTGTCTTATTACAGGCTGTATGGTTCAACTCTCAACATTGATTTGTTCCCGGCCCTCATGGTGGAAGACCTAGTTCCTGGCAGCCGCTTGGGGCCCACACTCATGTGTCTACTCAGCACACAGTTCCGACGCTTGCGGGATGGAGACAGGTGGGCATCAGGAGACCTTGTCTTGCTCCATTGCTTTTGGGACTCAGAGCAGAAAAGATCTGTGCTTGCAGACAGGGAGGACCCATCATCCCTCCTGAACTTCCAACAGCTCAGTACCTCCTGTGCACAGGCTGCCTGCCACCTTGGCCTATCAGGCTAACACACCCGAGTCTCCAAGCTGTTGGTTCCTGAAGCCAGTGAGAACACTGTTTCCAGACTTCTTTGACTGTCCATGAAGCTAAATGATTGTAGGACTCTAAAAGATCAGAACTTTTTTTTGTTTGTTTGTTTGGTGTTTTGAGACAGGATCTTATTATATAGTCTAGGCGGTCTTCCAGCTCATGACAAGCCTTCTGCCTCAGCCTCCTGAGTGCTAGTATTTCAGGTGTGTGCCACCATGCCTGACTGAGACTTGGGGTTTCTGGCAAGTCTTACTTTTAGTCTAATAAATGTTAGTTTACTTTAACATATAGGAAAGGTGGCCAGATCTAAGACTGAGGAATTTAGTCACTTTGCTGTCACCTGTGGCTTTTTAAAAAAAAATACTTACTTATTATTTTATGTGTATGAGTATGTTGCGTACATGTATATAAGTGCACCCGTGTCCTACAGTGCCCAGGGAGGTCAGAAGAAGGCGTCAAATTCCCCTGGAACTAGAGTTACAGGTGTTGTTAGCTGCCATGTGGGTGCTGGGAATTGAACCTGGGTCTTCTCTAAGAGCAGTCAGCGCTCTTAACCACTGAGCCATCTGTCCAGCCCTACCCATGGCTTTTTAAAAGTGGCCTTTCTTCTTGCTGTTAGGAAGAGCTAACATATTTTTTTTTATATGCCAGACATTTGCTTTTCTTTTGTTTATTAGGTGGGAATTTGAACACTGTCTGAGTCACTTTTAAATTGCTAATGGAATCAGTGACTTCCATGTTGGAAGAACAGCCTTCCTCAGCTCCTGTGATGTCCCTCTCTGCTGCTCACCCCACTGACCCTGCTCTTATTTTCTGGGGCGTAGGTTGTGGTACGAGAACCCAGGGGTTTTCTCCCCAGCCCAGCTGACACAGCTCAAGCAGACATCCCTAGCCAGGATCCTGTGTGACAACTCAGACAACATCACCCGCGTGCAGCGGGACGTGTTCAGGGTGGCAGAGTTCCCACACGGCTATGGCAGCTGTGAGGACATTCCCAGAGTGGACCTCCGAGTGTGGCAGGACTGTTGCGAAGGTGTGTGGTGCCAACACGCCGCCCTCTTTCCCTGTTCCTGCTGCTTTGCATGAGAATGGGGACATGGCCTTTGGTGGTATGGGACTACTTGTGGTTGTGTTGTTTAGCGGGATGCATTGTTAGGCATTTTCATTACACAGACACCATAGAGCACTGGGCCTAGGCCGTATGGGCTGTCAGTCCACTATGCCTCTTGATGTAATCAGGAGACATGTAGACACCCAAGGCTTGAGGCTGCCAGTAGTACATGGAGCACTGTTTTATAACTTTAAATAGGAGTACACTAAAATGCTGATGAAAGTTCAGCATGGTAGGTGAACACACCACCACTGAGCTACGCACGTGATCAAAAGTGCCATGCCCTGTACATGGTTTCTTATGCCACACCTCATGCGATCACCAGTGTAGTAGGTTTGTTAGTGCCAACATCACCACAGACACCTTGTACTAAGATGTCAATAGAGTTGTTATTGGGGAACACCTTATACTCATGAGAACCTAAATACTGTGTAAGAGAAAACAAAACTCTAGTGTGTCTGTAATGCATATATAACATTTAACTTAGAGTGTAGCTACGTCCAGTGCTTCTGTGTTAGTCTGTCAGTCCATACCTACAAAGAATGAGGATTAGCACTTGCTGGAAGCATAGCAAGCACACCAAGTTGTCCTGACAAGTCTGTGCTACGTGTTCTAGACCCTGTAGTAGCTTAGGAGTTCTGGAGTATCTCCTGAAGAGGTAGACAGTGGCCTGCAGGCAGGAGAGGTCTTGCTATTGGGGCTAGAAATGCTCATGACGAGGGCTCTGTGGTGCATCCTGCCGGGCCTCTGGAGGTCTGCTCCCTGCCATGTCTGTCTGTCTCCCTCACAGGGCCACCATCACTGTTCTAGCAGCTGCTGGCTTCCTGTGGGGACCATTCTACAGTCTCTTTCCCACTTTCCATTCCTAAATCCCTCACGTGGTTAACCTCAGTTTCCAGTTTCTAACTAGGGTGCAATTTTAGCTTTATTCAAATGATGGTTAGAGCCTCACAGATAATGAAGCTGGGAACGTTTACAACCTAAACTGAGTGATCTAGTGTTTGTGTTGAGGAGACAGCTCCGAGTATGGAAGATCCCAGCCACATCTGGAGCAGCAGACCTAGTCCTCAGTCTTCCCTGTTCCTTCAAGGCCCTGGAGAAGGTGGGCGACTTAAAGTTTGAGAAGAGACACACGGAGTTCAGAACTGTGGTTACTCTCTCCCACTTTTTTCCTGAAGTAGTCACTCAGGATGTTGTTCAAGTTAGTAAGTATGGAAATCTAGGTTCAGTACTGAGCTGCATTTAACATCACCTAAGACAATGTGTGGTTGAGCTGGAGAGTGGTTAAAAGCACTGGCTGCTCTTGAAGAGGACCCAGGTTTAGTTCCCAGCACTCACATGGCAGCTAATAACTGTCCCATAACTCTAGTTCCAGGGGATCCAACACCTTCTCTGGGGCCTGGTACAACACTGTTGCACTTACATACATGCAGGCAAAACACTCATATACATAAAATAAAAATAATCAGAAAAAGAGGATGTTTGGTAACTGTGTGTACATCTGTGTGTGTGTGTGTGTATGCATTTGTTTGAGTATATGATCATGTGTGTGTCTATGTGTCTAATCTGATTGTCTGCCCTTTCCCCCTCTGTTTCTCTGTGTATATGTATATATGTGTATGTTCTCTCCCCCCCCCCCCCGCCCCGCCGTGTGAGGAGAATTCACATAGATGAAATTGTGCTTCCTACACACCCAGACCTAAACCACTGCCAATCCTGTGATCACTCTGTGGGAACTTGTATCTGCTTTTGCTTCTTTTTGTTTTCTACTTTCCCAGTTTTTTCCAGCTTAAATATTTTACCGCCAGGATGGCAAAGAATTTCATTCTGTTAGCAGAAAACTGTTCTCTTGAAAATCGTGGGAAAGGCCAATGCTTTTTATTCTCAGACACAAAATTTCTGTTTTCTGATAACATTACCAGGCCCCCTTCTGCTGCCGAAGGAGCCAAGCCAGGCTTCACTCCTCTGCTCACAGGCCTGGAAGGGAGTCTTTGGGGCAGGCCTTATCTGGGGGCACACCCCCATCCTACTCCACTGTCGGCTGCTGAACAGGCTCGGTGCCCAAAGCTAACACAGCTTCTTCCATATATTGTGCCTGGTAAAACAGCAGCCTCAACCCAAGCCCAGCAGAGATTCAAGCTTTCTAAATTTACTGATTTTATATTAGCCCAAACCCATTTCTAAAATATAATAGGAAAAAATTTGAAATCATACAGGATTAAATGTCTATGTCCACTTTTTCTTTTTTATATATGTGTGCAGGGTGCTTGCCTCTGTGTGTGTGTGTGTGTGTGTGTGTGTGTGTATGTGTGTGTTTGCATGTATGGGGGCACACCTGTGTCCCACATGATCCAGTATCTCTGACCTGCTACACAGATAAATTCTGTCTTGGCCAGGGATGCCCCAGTTCTCCCTCTAGGCATAGAGCACAGCTGGGCCATACTGCTCTGCCTGACCTGGACCAACTGCACACACCCTGGCCCCAGTGCAGCCCCCCCACCACACTTCTGCTGATGTAGAAGTGGACGTGTTCTCAGAGGAGATGAATCAGACCAAAGAAGCACTAGGGAAGCTTTGTGTAAACAGGAGACAGCATGCTTGCAAACCTTAGCCTTACCTGGAGCACCTGTCCTGCCTAGGAACGACATACTCCTCCACCCAGGGCCTTGCAAGGCTGGAGAAAGAGCACCCTGGAAAGTGCTCAGGTTCTAACTAAAGTCATAGGTTTACAGCCCTCCGCCTCGATTTGGTCAAATACTGACCAAAATGTTTAAACAGTCACACATTTTAAAGTGGCTTATAGCGGGGGCTGGAGAGATGGCTCAGCGGTTAAGAACACCGACTGTTCTTGCAGAAGACCCTGGTTCGAATCCCAGCACCCACACGGCAGCTAACAACTGTCCATAACTCCAGTTCCAGGGGATCCGACAGCCTCTTCTGTCCTCCATGGGCATCGCATGACCAACACGGGTGCATTTACCTACATGCAGGCACAACACTCATACACATAAAAAGATAAAAATAATAAAAGAAAAAATAAAGTAGCTTAGAGCACTGGCAGAGCACTGGTGTGTGTGGCCCACTCTGCCTTGTTGTTCTCAAACTCACGTATTCTGAGGAAAGGTTTTGCAAGAGAGAATCATTCTTGTCCCCTTCCAGAATGTCCAGCCTGGTCTGACCTGGCCTCCGTGTGCAGGAAGCTTAGAGGGAAGACCCTCCAGTCAGTACTGAGGCACAGGAAACAGACATGGCTGTGACGGGCCAGGCTACTGTGATCTGGTTTGTGTCAATGGAGCCATCTGAGAAGCTACCTTGTCTGCTCCATTTGGTGAGCAGGGTGGATCTAACCCTCCTAACTTGACTAAGGTCAGATAATGACCTGTGGTGTTAAATTGCAGGCCACTTAGGGATCTTGACTTGGTGTCAACACTTGCTCTTCCCTTTCTAGTCACCAACATCAGGATCTAGACCCAGAGCATGCCTGCTGTCCGCAGAGGCAGGCAGCCATGTAGCCTCTATTTAACACCCCCGTGCCTTTATCTTGTAGGATTTTTGCCTCAGAGGCATCATAAGAGTTTAGAATTTGGAAAGGACCGCCTTTAACTTTTCCTTACTAGGGACAAAAAGACATAAGACACAAGTAAAATCTGATGGCTTTCATGGACAGTATGGGAAGGGCTCAGGTGAGACAGGACTGTGTTGCTTCCCACATCTGGAGCTTAGAGATGAGGCCTCAACCACGGTGAAAAGGTATATAGGAACCACCTGGACTTGTTGCAGGTGGGTGTGGGACCAGAGAGCAGAGTTACCATCTGACAGGGCTGGGAAGAACACAGCTGTGAGTAGACTTAGATCATGAAGGTAGACTGAGTGTCCAGGTCTTCATGTGTAGGATACAGGAGGATGCAGGAGGGCACAATGGGCATCTAAGGTGCCCTGGTGCAGGTGGTCTGTCCTCAGGGAGACCTGCATGTAGCTAAATGGTGGGTTTAAGTACTGGGCCTAGAGCTACGGAGGACCAGACGCACAGGCCCACTGTTGACCTTATGAGGCCCTTCAAATACTGCCTGGCATAAGGTGCCCCAGTGTGAGGCATGGACATGCTGTGTCATGAAGAAATAGTTAATATTATGGGCCTGGAAAGATGGCTCAGCAGTCAAGAACACTTGCTACTCTTGTAAAAAGATATGGGTTTGGTTTCTAGCACTGACATGGTAGCTAACAACCATCTGTAACTCCAGTTTCAGGGGATCTTATGCCCTCTTCTGGCCTCCATGGACATTGCACTCACGTGATACATTTACATACATACAGGGAAAACGCATACATTTACTAATACTTGACAAGATATAAAATTCTCCTTAATTATAGTCAGCTGTGCTTAACATACCCCTTTCCACTTTTTCATTAGACTGCAGGACCAGGGGACAGTTCAATGCCTTCTCCTACCATTTCCGGGGCAGGAGGTCTCTCGAATTCAGCTACGAGGAAGATAAGCCCACCAAGAGAGTGAGGCGACGGAAGGCAGCAAGGTTAGTTGCCGTGAGGAGGTCTGCCCATGGTGGGTGTCTGGCACAGGTCAAGGAATTTTGTGCTCAGTGGTGGCCCAGGTTGGCTCCAGCCACGATATCCCAGAATGTAGAATGAACAAGGCCCATATCCTGCCTGGCAGTGCTGATTGGTGGTAGACTGTGCTTGGAGCTTTGTAGAATAGATGTGTTCAAGAGCATTGGCTTGTACCTGTGGGCTGATGCTTGGCTGCTTCTCCTCCCCTCTTAGTGTAAAACATGTCAGCAATTCCACGTCAGCTGCTCATGAGCACCTGGAAGGACCAGCGACAAATGACTTCAAGGAGTTTGTTGTGGAAATGCAAAAGATCATCAGACATCTCAGAAAACAGGTAAGGTTGGCCTGATCCACCACCTTTGTGACCCCTGTGGACCTTGGGCCAGCATACCTTCTGCTTCCTGGGTTCCCAAGAGGCCTTGCATTTCTATGGAGGCGCTGACTGTGCTCTTTCCCGCTGGGGCCTGGCCATTCGTGTAGCTTGCTTTTCTTCAGATTGTCTCTAGGTGGGCTGCAGAGGCAAGAGCCCTTGTTCTCAGGTTTTCCTGTGGAGTGGGGACCTTGAACAGTGAATGTCTCTGGATTTGGGGTCCTCGCCAGGGAATGTTGGTGAGGGGACACAGATGGAGCAGACACAAAGTCCCACAAAACTCAGGCATAGTCAGTGAAGAGGTATGGGAGAAGGTGAAGTGTGAATTCTCTTGGTAATCCACTTTTTCAGGAATCAATTTGAAATGACTGTTCCCAGTGCTGCCAGTCAGTGGCAGTGATATGAAGAGACCCACACACACACACGATGGTTGTGTGGCAGGGCAGCAGGGCTCCACGCTGTACCCCTGGCAAGGGATCTGAAGATAAATTCTTTTCCTTCCTGCCCGAGGAGCTGCCTTCTTCCTCTTCAGACCCTCTCTGGGTTTGATTAGGGAAGGCTTCATTCTGAAAAAGTAGAGGCCAAGACCTCAGACTAGCTCATTCTGGTGAAAGATACACGTGTATGGACACCTACGTTGTGATGTAGAGAAGTGTTCACCTGGGCGGTGTAAAGAGGATACCAGGAGACGGCTTGGCATTGGTGGCTGGTTCTTGGGATTCTTGGACCTGGCTCTGTCCCTTTCCCAAGGCTACTCAGGTGATCAGCTTGGGGGAGACTCTGATCATATGTCTGTGTAGCCCCAAGTTCCCCTCTGGCAGCAGAGACCATTCCTGCTGCATCTGTGCCTGAACCTTTCTTGTTCTGCAGGCATTAGGCTCTGTCCCTGTGTACTCAAGCACCAGGTGTGGTTTGTCCTGAGTGGGTGGTATGGGGACTCCTGGCTCAGGAGAAACTCAGACCAACTCAGGCAGACCTCAGGGTGGTGATGAGTCTGGGTATCCTCAGAATCCAGGGTAGACCCAGAGCAGACCACTGAACAGGTGACTCCGGGCCCATGGTACCAGCAGACTTGACAGTGCAGAATGGCCACTGTGAGGCACGCAGACAGCTCAGGTAGAACAGCTCAGGCAGTCTTGGTTCTTTCCTGCCATCCCTGCATGACTGTCCATGCTGGTGCCTATGGCTCATCCACGGTGATGGCTACCCAGTTCACAGCCTGCTTTGTCCTTGCCTTTCTGGGCTCTGAGTTAACACAGAGGCAGCCACAGATGGGCAAGGCCTGCAAAGGTCAGGCAGGTTGCTTTCTTCCTTGAGAGGACACTGGTCCATTCTTCTTCCTCTTCATAGTCTCATGTAGAAATGTTCTATTTAGTAACTAAATCACTGTATTGTTTACTTTTCTGTTGCTGTAATAAAATACCATGATGAAAAGCAAATTCTAGAAGCATTTATTTGGTTTATGGTTCCAGAGGGAGCGTCCCTTATGGAGAGAAGACGGGCACGGCAGAAGGTGGCAAGCATGGTGACAGGAGCGGGAAGTTAGCTTGCATCCTCAACCACAACACAAAACAGAGCCAACTAGAAGTGAGGCAAGGCTATGAACTCTCAAAGCCTTCCCTCAGTGACATACTACCTCCAGCAAGACCACACCTCCCAAAGGCTCCATGATCTCCCCAAACAGCACCACCAGCTGGGGTCTTCAGATACCTGAGCCTATGGGGACAGTTCTCATTCAAACTGCCACAAGCACCAATTATGCTAACAAGTGATTCCTACAGAAAAGGTGGTTTTATTTAGAAACCTTAAAACATTTCTCAATGTGAATAGCTCTTTGGCCAACTAAATCCTAGGCGATCCCCAGGGGTTACAGTCATCCTAACATGAAGAGACAGGTTATTGTGGCTATTATCACCTGTTGTCAGGCTGGCAGCCTCCCCACAGCTAAGCATGTTGTTGTTGAGGTTGGTCTATGAACTCGGAGGCTCTGTCTGTTCCAGACCTCTTTGACATATACCTTGAGGGACAGCAAACTCTAAACATGGATGAATTCAGTGAGGCACATGTTAGCTTCCTTCTCAGTGAGTTTGGGGCAGAGCTGCTATTCTGTGTGAACACCTAAGGGACTTAACTAGTCTTACCCTAGCTGCACCACCAGTAGGACACAGGATAAGTAAAAAGAAGGCATCCCCATGCTGCTCACACCCCTCTTCCCTGGCTCTCAGGTGACTCATACATCCATACCTGGCCACCAGGGAGACAGAAAGGGCAGCTTGTATTTTGACTGGAAAGCCTTGTTCCATCCCCAGGATGGAGGATCCTGGGGGTGACCAGTCTTGAACATTAACACCTTTGAACTAGCTGATCATCTCTTTTAACACTTTGAAGCTCTGTGTGCACTTTCAGGAGTTGATCTTTGTTTCCATGGTCCTTCTGGCTTTTTGTTTGTTTAAAAATCGTTTATAGGGGCTGGAGAGGTGGCTCAGTATTTCAGAGCACTGGCTGCTCTTGCAGAGGACCAGGTTTGGTTCCTAGCACCCACATGGTGGCTAATAAACATCAGTAACTTAATTTCCAGGAGATTCAACACTCTCTTCTGACCTCCATGGGCATTGCACAACACCGGTGCACTCACATGCATGCAATCAGTACACTCATACATAAAATAAAAATAATAGATATGTTTTTTAAAAAACTTAAAGAGTGGGGCTGGAGATGGCTCAGTGGTTAAGAACACTGACTGTTCTTGAAAAAGACCCGGATTCAAAGCCCAGCACCCACATGGCAGCTAACAACTGTCCATAACTCCAGTTCCAGGGGATCCGGCAGCCTCTTCTGTCCTCTGTGGGCATTGCCAGACATGGGTGCTCTTACCTACATGCAGGCATAATGCTCGTACACATAAAATAAAAATAATAAATAAAATAGTTTTTCAAAAAACTTAAAGAATAACATTTGGGGGTTGGAGAGATGGCTCAGCAGTTAAGAGCACTGGCTACTTTTGCAGAGGCCCTGGGTTTGGGTCTCAGCACCCACATCTATAACTCCAGTTCTTGGAGATCCAACACCCTCTTCTAGCCTCCGTGGGCATTGCACAACATGGGTGCACTTACATTCATGCAGGAAAAAGATTCATACACATGAAAAATAAAAACAAATCAGAAAAAATTTAAGACATTTATTTATAATTAGTGTGTATGTGTTATGTGGGGGTTGGGGAGTGGGGGTGGTTCATGCATCCCTTGGAGCCCATGTTGAGGTCAGGGGACAGCTTTCTGGAGTTGGTTCTCTCCTTTCTCCATAAGTTCTGGGCATTGAACTCAGGTCATCAGGCTTGTGGGACAGCAGTTTCCCCCCCACCACCCCAGCAGCAAGCTGATTCTGTTTATTGAGATAAAATCTCCTGTCAAGGAGAATGACCTTGAACTTGTGATCCTCCTGCCTCCACCACTCAAGGACTGGAATTCTAGCCTTCAGCATCACGCTTGTTTTACGTAGTGGTGGGGATAGAACCCAGGGCTTTATGAGTGCTAGGCAAGCATTCTCCTAACCAAGCCAGACCCTAGCTCACAGTTCTTTCTTTTTGTCACTACACTTCATACTTTGTGCCTTCTGGAATTGGATCCCAAAGTCTCTGCTCACCTGGTCATGTACTTTCAACACCCTCCACCTGAGTGAGCAGTAAATTTGTGTCCTTGAGAATGTTGGCAGAAATTTGTCTTAGCCATGGAATATCTTAAAATGACCTTTCAAAGGTGGGACTGTCTTAACAAGAGCTATCCTGTTGGAGCTGGAGAGATGGCTCAGCAGTTGAGAGCATTAGCTGCTCTTACAGAGGACCTGGGTTCAGTTCCAAGCACCCACATGGTAACTAACAACCATTTATAACTCCAGTTCAAGGGAATCTGATGGCCTCTTCTGACCTCCTCAAGCAGGTGCACTCACTTACTTGCAAGCAAAACACTAATACACATAAAATAAATCAAAAATTTTTTAATAAATAAGTCTTTTTTAAAAAGGTATCCTATTGCTCTGAGGACTGTGTTCAGTAAAAAAAACTGCCCTGTTGCTTGGAAGAATGTATTGAGTAAAAGCTATGCTCTGACCCTGAAGTAACCAGAACTACTCTGTGCCTTGCTGCAGATAAACAGCCTGGAGTCTCGGCTCAGCACCACGGAGTGTGTGGACGACAACGGCGACTCTCACAGCAATAACACAAAGTGGAAAAAAGACACATGCACAGTTTGTGAGTGCAAAGTGAGTATGACATGGAGGAGAGGGAAGAACTGCCCCCACCCCAATCCTCTCTGGACTCGTTCTCCTTCCTGGGAGGATTAAGTAGGAGATTGGGGGCAGGGTAGCCCAGTCCTTTGATCCTGTGCATTACAGTGTGGGATGGGAGGGCAGTGGGAAAGAACAGGAGGGTGGGCAGTGTTTGCAGTTGAGAAATTAGTTGAGCATTACCCATAGCCACAATCCTAGGAGAAGTGAGACAGGTGCAGAAACTACTACAAGTCACTGATTGTGGGGGGTGGGGGTGAGGGCCTCAGGGTGCTCTTCCCTGAGGGAAGGTGGTCATGTGCACCATGCTCAGCCAGAGATCCCAGGAATGACAAGACTGTATCTCCTTCTCAGAATGGCCAGGTCACCTGCTTCGTGGAAGCTTGTCAGCCTGCAGCCTGCCCGGAGCCTGTGAAAGTTGAAGGAGCATGCTGTCCCATCTGCCTAAGGAGAGCTACAGAGGAGAAGCCTTAGGCTTTCCTAAGCTGGGCTCCTCGAAGGTGGTCCACAGAATCCTCATGAGCTTAGCGACATGGGGAGCTGCAGACCACAGGACAGGAACCCCAAACATTTCAAGACTTCCTCTGTGCCGTCAAAGACGCAGCCCTGACTGCTTTGGAACCCATGTTTGTAGAAGGAAATTGAACAGGCAAGAGCAGGTGTAGGCTCTGGTTTTCATTTCATGTTAGACTTCTCAGGTTTTTATTTAATTCTTTTAAAATGGAAAATTGGTGCTACTATTAAATCGCACAGTTAAGCCACGTGGGCTCCAAAATCACTTCTGCCTGATGATGCCACTTGTGTTTAAATGAGGCAGGAAGTCTTTGAAACCCCCTCTGAGGGTGGGAGCTTTGTTCACTGGTGTGGCCCACAGGTGGTGGCATGGCAGGAGCCATCAGGAGAATTCTTGGTTATATCACAGGCTTTATTTAAATAGAATCTTTTGACAAATGAACAGAATCCCCACAGGGATGCTAGGGCTCCCCCCCACCCTCTCCTTCATGTCTGCTGCCTTTACTGTCACCCTCAGGGCTCATTAGCATCTGACCACAATACCAAGCAGTCCTGTGTCCTGGGACCACATCAGTTCCTTCTACATATGACTGTCACATTATTAAGTCACATTTAGAAACAGTCTTGTTTCCACTTAGAATGTGCATACATACTGCTTTGCTGTAAACTGAATGTGAATTCCTTTGGTCCCACACCATGTCCGGTGACCCGAACAGCCCCTTACATTATTAGGATGGTCTGTGGCCACTGCCTGCCTTGGCTCCTGACTACAGCTTAGGAGGGTAACCTAGTCTCCAGATCCTCCTGACAGGCGACAGGCAGGCAGACCCTGAACATCAGGAACTCACATTGTGTGAATGCTTTAAAGAAAAGAATCCCTATACCTCATTTTTTAATTGCATGTTTTATAAAAACTTTCCCATTTTCAGGTGTTAGATACAATAGAAAAATTATTTCCATTATGCAAAAGTTATTTTGGCTTTCTTTTTTTAGAATTCAGTGAAAAACAACTATTATACCTCATAGTATCTTTTTTTAATTGACCAAAACTTTCCATTCTATTCTCACAACAAAGTTCTCACTGTTCTGAGGACTCTTCACTGAATAAGCAAGTCTCATCCCACACACACACTGATGTGTCAGGCCTTGTGAGCAGCATTATGAGCAGAGCAGTGGGACTTGGGATCACCTGCCCAGAGGCTGAGGAGGAGGACCCTAAGGACACAGGGAAGGTTGAGCCATTTGGACAAGGGCAAAATGGCTGTCATTACAGGAGACCATTGTCAGGGATAAGGTGAGGCTCTGCTCCTCTCTGTCTGGCCAGGTGCTGTGCAGTAAGGCCAATCTTGTATGATCTGTGTATGATCCCTGTGGTGGTGGGAGCTCCTTCCCAGAGACAAGCACGGAGCCATGTACAAGGCTGCCTAGTGTGCTGTTGGCAAAGGCAGCATCTCATGAGTATTCACAGTGGATTCACTGCATTGCATATCAAAAACCGGTCACCTTATCTTACCCTTGTGTTGCTGATGATAACCAGAAGCTGGGTGTTCTGGTAGGCATTGCTTTTGATATAGGATGGATTTAGCGATGAGATCTCAGAACAGACTTCTGTGAAGTGAGAAATGTAAGTGTGTGCATGGAATCTGATGGCTTGGTCATCGCTCAGGTGTAGAGATGGCAGCAGAGCCTGTCTTGGGTGCTCTGGCATCTCACTTGGGCCCCGTGGGGGGTGTCTGGTGCCCAGGCACACAGGTATGCATGGCGCTTAGGCAGGCATCAAGGGTTTTTGTTCTCTGAACTAGTGGGGGAAGCTGGCTGTCATTTACATTAATTTCTGTAATTCAAACCAAAATGTCTGTAGAATCTCCTTTGATGTTACAGTCTCACTGCCCGGACAGTGGGCAGTGCCCAGACGACCTTCCTGAGGCAGCAACTGCACGGGGGCTGCCATGATATGAAGCATTGTACATATTTATTTACTTTCCTTACTGTTGCCAACATCCAAATGCCATTTTTATGTTTTTTGTATTCAGTACATTACCAAAGAGGTGTTTGCACTTTGTAACGACGCCTTTCAGTTCTAATAAAAGGGCCACGTTGTCAAGTGGAGAATCTGTCTCTTTTTTACCTTAATACAAATGATAACTTGTTCATCAGGTGACGAGCTATATTTTAAGTCACTGTGAGAAAGAAAAAGAAGGGATTACTTAAGGTAGACTTCTTTCTGAGGTAGAGAGGGAGGCTTAGCCAGACAGGCCCCGGGATAAGGCTACTGAATTTCGCTGGTATGGACCAACGTGTTCATTGTCAGAAGATGCACAGTTCTGGCCCTGAGGGGACAGAGTGAGCCCTCTGCTCTCCCCAGAGCAAGAACACAGATCAGGGTGGTTGCATGGAACCAAAGTCAAATGTTTCTGTGTGCCTGTGCTCATGGTGTGCCTTTCAGTCTGACCAAGGTGACCTGGGTGGTAGGTTTCGGAGAGCGTGCTGCTCTGAAGGAAGTAGGGGAATTGACAGTGTCTTTACAGCATCTGAACAAGATCATGCTGTTTATATAATGAGAAGGAAGATACAATATTAGGGAAACTTGTATTAAGTTTTTAAAATATGTGTATGTATGTGCTCACATGTGTGCACATATGCACGGAGGCCAGAAGTCAACATAAGGTGTCTTCCTCAATTACACTACCTTATTTTTTGAGACAGGCTATCTCACCGAACTTAGTGCTCACTAAATGGCTGACTGACTAACAAGTCTCAGGGATCCCTGTTCGTGTCTCCCTGGTGCTGGGATTACAGGTACATACCACTGTGTCTGGCCTTCTGTGGGTGCCAGGGATCCGAACTCAGGTCCTCAGTCTTATGCTTGCGAGGTCATAAGCCTAAAGCCAGTGAGCCATCTCCCAACCCCTTGCAGTAAATTGTTGGTTTTGTTTTTTGAGCCAGGTTCTCCCTGTAGCCCCAGCTAGGGTAGAATTTACTATGTAGCTCAGGCTGGCCTCAGTCTCACAGAGATCCACCTGCCTCTGATTCCCGAGTGCTAGGATTAAAGGTGGCCACCACCACACTCAGTGGAGTACGCTTTTAAAGTTGTCAGATCATTTCAGAATTTGAATGGGAAACAAGTGCTGTGCTGGTTAGTTTTTGTCAGCTTGACACAGACTAGAGATACTGAAAAGAAGGGCCCTCAATTGAGGGATTACCTCCCTTGGGTTGACCTGTGGGCATGTCTGTGAGGCATTTTCATAATTGTTAGTTGATGTAGGAGACCCCAGCCCACTGTTGGCAGTACTATCCCTAGGCAGGTGGGCCTGGGCTGTATAAGAAAAGTATCTGAGCCAGGTATGGCGACTCACACCTTTAATACCAGTACTCGGGAGGCAGAGACAGGTAGATTTCTGTGAGATTGAGGCCTGGTCTACGTAGTGAGTGTAGGCCAGCTGGGGCTACAGGGAGACCCTGTCTCAGAACAAAAGAACTCAGCAAGCCAGGGAGAAGCAAGCCAGTAAGCAACACTCCTCCATGGTCTCTGCTTCAGTTCCTGTCTCCAGGTTCCTGTCTTGAGTTTCTGCCTTGGCCTCCCTCAGTGATGGACTGTGACCCATAGGATGAAATAAATCTGTTTCTCCCAAAGTTGGTTTTGGTCAGTGTTCCATCACAACAACAGAAATAAAATTTAGAACAAGTGCTTCCGTGATTGTGCCTCACTGCAGTACAGGACTGTGGGATTCTCTACTGCGCTTGGTAGTAAAATGGTACATTCTGTGATGGGCTCTGCTCACACAAGGTCGTAAGCTACAAGCCAGCTTTTGCAGCCATTGTAGACGCTAGCTGCCTTTTCTTTCTTAGAGTGACAAATGTAACTTTCCTCGAGCTCCTTCCCACTTGGGTTTTTCAAGATTGTAATGAACTAGTGAGTAAGAAGAACATGGCTCTCAGGTGGGCACTTTAGCCAGTGTCAGCAGAGTCACGGAGTGGAGTGAGACCAGGTCTCAGGCCATGCTGGGACAGCTGTTTTCAGATTTTCTTTAACACTCGCTGACCTGGAGGCCCTGAACAATACTGCATGTTCACTTCAGTGGCTCAGCAGGTAAAGTTGCCTGCCACCAAGCCTGAAGACCTGTGCATTCACACTTGTACATGCATGTACGTTCACACACACAAAATTATGTGTAATTTAAATATATATTTATATATAATTTGAATATATATAAAATTCTAAATTTTTTTTTTTAAGTCTCCAAACCCAGATCTGGAGACTGATGGTTGTGTGACTGAATTCAGATGCCCACTTGTGGTTGCTTTTATGTCTGTGATAGTCATTAAAAGTCATTGTATCTGTTATTGTACTGTCTGATTTCCTTTACTCACGTAAGTGGGACCCCAGAGGAAGAAACTGAAGTTAAAATCCCAAATCCTTTACCACCGTCTTCCCCATTGTGTCTTAAAAGTCTCCCCCCAGTTGAAATCCCTTTTTCCTGTTGTGACTGTACCCTGTGGTTTCCTAGGACTTCAGAAAGCTGCATCCCTGGTACTGCTGTGGTGCTGGTGACTCCATGTTGCTGAGGAGCAATGGGCGTTTTGAGGGTCTAAATACCACCTGTAAATTGGTATGGCTTTTCTATTGCAGAGGTCAGGGGAAGGAAAGGGACTGAAAGCTTGTTCGTATTGTATTTTCTTGCCCTATCTGACACTGAACATAAGTTCCGTGGCAAGTTTAATTTTCAGTGTGCTTTACCTAAACTAAGTTTCTCCCTGCTGATTACTAACTTAAGAGCTCTAAAGTAAATAACCCTGACATCATTGTTCCATGCCTTCTAAATCATCTGCATCCTTCCCAACATGCAAACTGATTTTCTTGTTTTGTCCTCTGTAAGCCAAACTAAGCAGGATACACACATTGAGCCTGAAGCGGCCTGGTCTGCAGCTGCTTTGGAGGTGGTTCCTGGAAAACATCCGTGTTTATGTTCCTTAAAGATGAGCACATCAGGCATCATCTCAGAGGAGGCCACTGGTCATCGTTTCTCATAACTGTGACTCAGAGCAACACCAGGGGAGGAGGGAACAGGATGTGGTACTGGAGGCCCCCAAGGGTACTGTGCAGCCAGGCAACAAGGTTTCCACAGAGATTCCAGTACAGCTGTCAGAAGGCTCTGTCTCCACTACTGCCTTGTGGTGCTGAGCTCTCCTGTAAGTCAGGGGTGCCAGACCAGAGACTCAGGCCTGCCTCCCAGGCCCCAAAACCAGTCCTCTGTTCATTCCACCAAACTTAGAAAATGAACATCCACATTTCATTAAGACATTCTTTATGTGCCCTGTTCAAACTGTGGGACTCAATGGACTTAGTGAGCTTGTGAACATACCTCAGGCATGAAGGACAAATCTGGGACCTTGAAAATCAGAATGCTTGAGGTGTGATTTCTCACTCCTGTGGAGTTGGAGTCCCCACAGACATGTGTTTGCTCTGTGACCTTGGCCTAGTTGCCCAGCCTTTCTGGATCCTACTTTGCTTCCATTCATAAAGCAGAGGCGACCACACACCTGCCTTGGGAATATGTTGGGACGATATTGTGAGGTATACATCTCCTGGTGTCAGGTATTTAAGCTTCTACATCTTTACAGCCTCCCACCTGCCAAGGTCTGGCTTACAGCCTCTTCCCCACATGCCCTTAGAAAACCCATTGTGTCTTCACATAGATGGGGAAAGAAATGCTGACGCTCCCTGTTTCCATCACAGGCTCAGTCAATGTCAATGAAGTCAGATGAGAAACTCATCTTACCTAGACCAGCTTTGTAATTGAGACCAGGCCCTGATAGCCCAATTTCCCCAGAAGCCAGTACTTCCCAAAGGACTATGCTCTGGACCCAGGCCATTCCCACCTGCCCAGCCCACTAGACCCATAGCCCCCCACCCCAGACACAGCTTTCCTACTTCTCTGCCTGTGCTGTCTGCCTTCCCAGTCTTCATCCTCGTTCCCCTTCATCGCTCCCATTGTTCCTCCCCTCGGTCCATGGGAACCAGTCTCTGAGAACTTGTCTGCTCTGATCTTTGGCTTATTCATTACTCACCATGAGTCACAGTTACCATCCCCACACAGCCCTTATCTGCAGACAGACCACAGACTTCTCAAAGCTAGGCACACACTGTCTAATTTTCTCCCTGGACTCAGCTTGTTTAAGAATCTCCACCTACGACAGTTGTTACAGGAAAGACCAGGCAGGGCACAAGGAGTGTACAGGAAGCAGGTATTTTTATTTAGGTTGCAGCCTGGCCTCAAAATCTGGATCCCAAAGAAAAATAGCACATATCTTTTATAGCTTGGACCTTGGGTCGCAGTGAGAAGGAAACTTGCATATTGATTGGCTATCAGTATAGCTTCAAAATTAGGCAAATTATTATAAATTTAGAAGTTTAAATGTTTAAAAATCCTCTGAAATTCATTGCAGAAGTCTCCATCTGAGACAAACAGTACTGAGGAAGTTTCATCAGGATACAAGGCCAATGGTTCTAGCTACCTGTGCTAGGGTTCTAACCACAAACTTGTCAGCTGAAATTTAGACAGAGGGAGAAAACATGAATTATTAAAATTCATATTTTACTGTTTCATTGGACTCCTCATCACAATGGCTGTTGCGTTTGAAGCTGAATTCCTTCGCCTTTGGACTGATCATAGCAGAGAATTTAATTTCTTTTTCAAGTAATGTGTCTGAAGACTTGAGGTTTGGTTGGATTCCATCTCTGTTAACTGCCATCAGAGTTCAGACAGACTTACTAAATCCACTGGAGCCTCTACTTGTCTATAATTATCCAACTTCTAAGATTTCTTTGTAATTAACTAAATCAATGCCAGTGGGAAATAAAGGACTATGGATGTGTTTGCTGCCAGGGAACAGCACTGTGGTGCTTCGTACCTTGTCCAGGGCTCAGCTTAGAAACGGACAGAACTCAGTCTGTGTACTTCTGGGGATCTGGCAGTCAAACTAGTCTCTCTGTGTGAGGTTAATTGGAAATCCAGCTCTTTATATAAAATTCTCGAGTTCTTGGTCCTGTTGACTCTGGATAAAGACCTCCTCGTTCTTGTGTGGAGGGAACCAGAGCTTAAACAGGT